GAGATTACCTCTTACGATGTCACAAACTCACAATCTCACAAACTTGACCTCTTTATAATATTAGTATAGACACAGACCATATAATAGTATACAGATGTAAATCATGAACGTTGAACGATTGATTCTGATAAAACTTGTATAAACAAATAGACCTAATTTTTGACTTACACTATTTAGATAAGTGGAGTATGTATTTTCTAATTCTATCTGTATATATATATGTCTACGCTGGTTGCTTCAAGTCGCAAAAAGGATATTTTTCTTAAGGCTAATTATTCAATTATGAAATAAATTAGAGAATTATAGTTGTATGAATAACACTTTTTACTAAAATCGGGTTCATCGAATTCAAAATGATAATAAAATATTAATTATTCCAATCGCTTAAGCTAAACAATTTAATCAGTGGATTTTAAGTTTTTAAAATATGGAACCACCTTTGAGGTATACCTATTCATCAAATAAATAATTGTGGAAATTGATCTACACTTACCGAAGTTATCGCATTACATACATACACACAAAGAACAACCGAATTGAGTATCTTTTTCGTTTTGAAGTTACATTCAAACTTAGAAATAATTTAATATAACGATCTATATACTCGTACATTAAACACGATTAAAATAAGATTTATAGTTCATTCCAAACTGTGCTAGCTACCAAGAAAATGCAAAATATGTGTCTGTTACTTTTATTACACTTAAGTAGACAAACTGACGTTTTGGACAAACTTAGCTTTTGTGTTCAAGAAGCGCACCGTGACGAGGAGAACTTCTTAAAACTTAAATTTACTCTTCGCTTTGAAGACAATGAGGTAGTTGACATATTTCTTTGAATTAGTCAGAACTTTGTTTTCTAGAAGGGAGTAAGAAACTTGTAATCCTTTCTGTGTTTACAGACTCTCTGTGTAGTTGTTAAAGTAGTTACTCACTCAGTCATTGTACCGGAGGTAGTGGGTTTGAGTGTGATAAATATTTATATTGACGATATAAATATACAGTTTTATTCTGTAAAAATGCATTTACGATGTGTTGCATAGATATATGTTTCGATTGTATTTTTGGCGATATTTTTTTTTTATTACTAGAATTGAATCCCCATTTTTTATTTAGTAGCTACCCGTCAATATATAAATGGACTATAAAATGGGATGTAAAAGTGATTTTATTATAAAATATTATTATCTATGAAGCGCCTCTGGGATCCACGACCGCGGACACGTCTCGGCGTGTCAGTTAGCAATAGATTTCTTAGATTTTTAATTAATTTCTTAGAAATTTACCTGGAGGTGTTAAGATTTTTTATGTGCATAAATCTTATTTTACATCATAAAAGTATGTTTTTATATGAGTAAACTGAACTACATAGTTCTCGAACGTTGTATCGTGTACTCCTTTCATTATAGGGAAGGCCTAGTCAGTGGGGAGTTAAAAGTGTTTTAATTATTTTTATTTATCACGTATGCCTAAATTATCATTGGGTTATTGACAGTGCTAATTAATTCATTAGTTATTGTTTACATTAGCACGGTCACAGTGTATGCGGACATGTGTGATGCATGATCGTTACATAAGCTGACCCACATGAGTGACCCACATTAAATTAATCAATATGCCTTATAATATGAGTAGGTCTGCTATCTTTAAATATGCCAAGAAATAACTCGATTGTGTAAAATGTACATTTTTTCCACTAATATATTTTAAATGTAAATGTTTATTTTCGTAATTATATTATTAGCTATTAATTAAGTCAATTTAATACCGTTTCTTTTTCATGGGGAAGGAAGGAGCTCCCATCCTTTAAGATATATATATATATATATATATATATATATATATATATATAATCCATACTAATATTAAAAATGTGAAAGTGGGTTTGTTTGTTTGTTTGTCGAAACGGAATGACGGATTGGTGTGATTTTTTGTGTGGAGATAGTTGGAGGGCTGGAGAGTGACGTAGGCTACTTTTTGTCGCGGAAGATCATCTAATTCCCACGGAAAAACATGTTATAATATAATCCAAAAAAAAATATGATCAGAATTACTTGAAACTTGGTATTAATGCTCTTCAATAAAATTAAATAAATATATGTCTTAGCATTTTTCGAAATTCATCCTATAAGAGGGTGAAATATTGGATGAAAGTTTGTATGAAACTACTATTTTCAAAGATTTTTCGTAGTTTTAGCGTGAGCGAAGCCGTGGGTTCTGCTAGTATAGTATATATGTTACGGGTAATGCTAGAAGTTAAGTAAACCTAGGTTTATCCAGGTTAACTTAGAATCACCCAAGGTTCTGGGTAAAGTTCGAATAATAAATTAAATAAGTTTTTATTCGGGAATAAACCCGGGTAAACCTAGGTTTACTTAATCTTCTAGCATTACCCGTAACATATATATTTTAATTTATAGTTTTTTGTTTGCTTAATTATTCGAATAATCTGTGCGATTATTTTAAAGTATATTTTGTTAATAATTCCCACATAAATAATATTGCAAAATAAGATTTAGGTCTTTTATAATAATTAATGTATTACCAGTACTTACACGTGCCATTTATGGAAAACGCTTAATTTTGAAAGTTCCCTCAGTTTATATTAATATAAGCTCTCATTTTCATCGTTTGTAATAAGAGTTGTCTTGTTTCTGTTGACCTTTTCATACCAATTACGTTAATCGAACACTTAAAATGAAGGAAATATTATCTCAAAATGGTATCTACAATTACGTAAATATTAATGTAATGTGTAATTTTAAGTTATATTTTTGATGTTATACTTCTTTTGGCACGTTTGGAAAAAAATATGAGAGTTAAGTTTTTACGATAGGCGCGCACACCGACAGCCACAAAGTGACATGATGAACTTAGCTGATAACTGTTTGTTGCCATGGTAACCGTTGTTATTGTCTGACAAATTATATATACCTAATATTATATTCTTAAATGATATTCTACGAGTATAAATATATGATTATAATATGCCTTATTTAATTATTTTATTAATTTATCATTCCTTTTATAAACTAAGCGTTGTGACATACGGGACGAAATCTTTAGCTATTTTTGTTCTGTTACGATAAAGAAGTATAACTTCTTACGTGCGTGCATAAGTACAGATAAACGATGTTTTTTTGTAAAAGTATCTTTTTTGTATATATTCTATAGTCAACTAACATAATGAGAAGAGTTCAGAGACAATTAATAATATGCTACTACCAATTTTCTAAGGATAAATTTAAAAGTTAGGTTAGAAATCGAACCCAGGACACTATAGTGTATATTTATAATGAGATTTATAATGAAGGTAGCAATTAAGTATAATGAAGACTTATCAATATTTTTTAATTATAATTCTTTATACAATAGTCATCGTAACTATTTATTGCGCTTGAGGTTAAAGGTTGAAGATCAAAGTTGATGGATATTTCTCTGCTCACTTTGTGTTTATTAGAAGTGGATAAAACTTGTTTTGCGTTTCCTAACAATTTCTTTTTAATTTAACATTATTAAAACTATTATATAATAACTGATATGATTCAACCCGTAAGTATTATATAATGTAACTCTATAACTGAACTTGGCCCGACCTGCGACTCGAACTCGGGACCTCCGAATCTACAGTCGTACATGCTGGCCACTATACCACCGAGGCAGTTAAAGTATTGTATAACAGGTCACTAAGTTATTATATCAATATCCTGACAAGTGTATTTTAAATTTTTGTATTTTAATCTTCATCTCTTTACGTTTGAAAAAAAACCCAGAAAAACTAGATTATAAGTCCGGATTGAGCCACAGCTGCAATAAAATATTGCCATATGATATTTTTCTTATCGATAGCCTCGATTATAAATATAACATCACGTACCTCTGAACATATTGTACTACGATACGTTTGTACCTACAGACGATCATTTTCTGTAATTAACGGTGTTTTATTTGCTTTGATACATTTATAAGTATTTTTAAATTAATTACCATTTTTTGTGAATAGTGAATCATGATTTAATCAAATGATGTGGTGTCAAGCTATATTTAAATATCTAATTTGTAACTAAAAAGGCGTGTCTGTGTGTACATTTTCCTCAAATTACTCCGTATAAAAGAATGTAATAGCCATAAGGTGAGATGTCAAAAATCTTAATCTCTCATGACCGTTTGCTGTTAGGCATTCAAAACGTCAGGAACTAGTAGAAGTAATAAAAAAACGCGAAAGAAATCGTATAAATAATAGTAGGTAGTACCTACTTGGTACATATGTACATAAAATGTCAAATATTTACTGAAATTAAAAAAAAACATACGTAAAAGAAATTGCACTACCGTTAAGCATTAGGTACAAATGCCGGTTTACCTCTGTGTTTTAAAAGACTATACGTAATTTATATATTACGCAATGTGAGTAGTTTTGGAAACATCGCTCTATATGTTATTGTTTCTTATCAATAGCCCCGATTACAGAGCAAATACATTATACGAGTATCGACGACATTATTTTATTGTTAGTACTTTGTAGTGTGGACGCTCGTTTGACTGATTTAAAACGTGTTAAAGTTTATCGCGTATTTTGACGCTTTGATGGAACGCGTGTTTTGTTTCTCATGCGATTTATACCGTTAATTACAGGCATGAAGTAGATTTTCAAGGTTTTCATATCGATTGTCGTTAAAAATAACGTCAATTACTAACAAGAGAAAAACAGAAGGGATTCTAAGAATTATAACGAAGAGGACTCTTTGGAAACTTTTTAATTAAACCCTTGAAATTTGCGCAATTACGTTAAATATTCAAACGGTATATAGCTCAAGTTTAGTTAAATCGTTTTTTTATTGGCCTTTCGTATACTTAAATTACTAATTGTGAAGTGTTGTGAAATAATTCATTTTAAATACACTGTGTCAGAGTAAAATAAAACAACTTACAGCTAGCTTATAAGCTGGTCAGTGTTTGTTCGTGGTGGACGTTTAAGAAGTCAAAATAAATCCTCAAACGATGCGTAACCGCGTACTGCCACTGCTCGCTCCGGTGTTTCTGTCAAAGCTATGGAGAAGGCGGAGGACTAAAGCGATAGAGAAGTTGCATGGGGTATGATATTATTTCAAAAATACATATAATTTCCCTTTCCTTAACCCTCTAACCACAACCCCTTTGTTTGAAATAAAAAGATTTATCCTAAACACACTTGTATATTATCAGGCATGGTTACATCAGCTACAGGCCATTTAGATATTATAAAATCGCGTAATGGGTATGAATGAGCATAATCCATACCAAATTTTATATCACATGTTGCTACTTAAGAGTTCATAATAAGGTTATCGAAGTCATAAAACCAGATATGGTTATTGTTGATCTGTAAATTGTGTAGAATATACAAACATTTTATAAATAATAAACGAGTAGAGAGGTACATATTTATGAGGATTTTTTTTACTTTATTAGTAATAAATGAAAAATTTATGAAATACGCTTCATAAATGCGTTTTTTTAAACTATGTTGTTTGTTATTAAATCAATTTTAATTAATTGTCTGTGGTATGACACATGGGAAAAGTTTCATTGAGAAAAAAAAACAAGAAAAAGCGTAACATACATATGTACATAACAGCAATATATCAACTGCAGGTAGATTTATAGCTTTAATATGTCAACACCAACCAGATGAGCCGATATAAATAAAACCTATATGTTCTTATTTTTTTTTATATCAACGTAAGCATGTGTCAATATTGTTCATCTTCTTTGTAAGTAAATCCTTTAAGCATGCAATTTTTGTCATTTCATCTCGGATAGAGTTCAACGACCTCTTCATCTCTAGATTTAGTTCAGTCATCCGCTGAAAAATTGCACTTACATTTTCTGTATGACTACATCAAGATTTTTTTCACTACATATTGTATAAGTGTTTCAGTAATAATATATAATAAGGATTTGGTTTGTGTATGTTTATTGCGTTTGAATATCAATCATAATCATTTTATCAAACAAGTAGCGACTTAGCGGTACATTTTCAATAGCTAAAAATAGTTATTGCGAGTGTATCTTAGTAGATACTATATAGACTATTTCTTTACGCCTTTTTTAAACCTACAATTTTATATTACTTTGTTTTGATGTTTCTCTTAATTTATAGCCAGCTTTAGCCATGTGCATTTCATAAGACGACTCGACAGACCTAGTTATTGTGTTTTCACTTGGGGCAAGATATCCCAAATAGTAGTAGTTGTAATAAGTTACACTAGACAAAATTTAGCTTAAATAGGTTCAATACTTATTGCGTGAAATGCACACAGATATACAAAAAGACAAAAAAATCAATAATTACTTTTTTGGGGTCAACATTCTGTACACTATACGTGACTGTTATTGTATTTAAAAAAAATTTACGTACAGATTTCGCTTTGTTACAATTTTATTATATGTATAGATTTAGCTATTAGCAAATAAGTTCATTAACTGTGTTCTGACTCTTTATATTTTGCATTTGTGCTATATTCGACAAATGTTGTGATAATATTGAAGATTTTTTTTAAATCTGCGCTTGTGACACGTCAATGATAGTTTAAAATATTTGGCCAATTGTAAAGTATGATTTTAAAATATTATTCGTATTATAAGCATTCATGTTATGTTATTATAAGCATTCATGTTATTGTATTTAATATACTATTTGTTAATTTTTCCATAATAATATAATTGTGATACTTTCAGAGCGCGTCGGAGACTTCGGCGGGCGCGGGTGGAGGCTCGTCCGGTGGCAGTGCGCGCGTGTCGTCGCGGTCGAGGGCGTCTGAGGAGCCGCATATTGGTATGTGATTGCTATTTATTTAAACCTTTACTAATACCACAGGCTATTTGAAGGAAGGAAAGGCTATTTTGAAGAGGACTTCCTCCTTTTTAGACTGTGAGTAAAAAATCTACCGAATGTTAATAGATAAATCGTCAAGCTTAAAAGTATAAACCTACGCTTATTAGAAGACAAGCGCTTCACCCCTAGATTGATTCCCCATACAAACTTTCATCCTCTATTTCACCCCCATGAGGGACGATTTCTGGGATAAAAACTATTTTGTGTCATTCCCAGGGTCTCAAACTATATTCTTACCAAATTTCATTTAAATCGGTCTAGTAGTTCCGATTGTCGTACGTACTTTTATATGTACTTTATTATGAGTACTTTATATAAGTAAAACAGTTATGTAATTTTTCATCGTTTTATATAGGAAAGTACAAACTGTTGAAAACTATCGGCAAAGGCAACTTTGCGAAGGTGAAGCTAGCGAAACATGTCCCCACCGGCAAGGAGGTTGCAATCAAGATCATCGACAAAACTCAACTCAACCCTGGCTCCCTGCAAAAACTGTTTAGAGAGGTACGGCTGCTTTTATTTCGTATCTGCGTTTTTTAAATTATTACGGTTTTTTTACAGTTTTCTTTTTAAATAAAACTACCTATTCCGATGTTTTCCTACGGTTCGAATGCTCTTATTGTTTAGATCAGAATAATACCAATTGAGATAACAACACTAAATAAAATATTTAATAAAGTTTTAAGAAAGAAATAATAATTACAATACGTAATATCAATCCAAATTAAATATTATTAAAATGTATCGCTACAAACTACGCACTAATAAACACCGCCTGTAGTAACTATGACTTTTGAGACGTTAAAAACCTTAGTCTCTCCCGTTAGCACATGTTTATGTGTACATTCGTAAAGTTGGGAAAAAATCATAGTAAAACCGTGAGAATATCCGAAAAAAACACTTCTTTAGGTCCGATCCACACTATAGTGCCGTGCCGCTCACGGCTCATTCGGTCAGTTATCAGCCTGGTAAAGTATTTTAATACAATAAACAATGAATATATTCACACCATCAGTAAGAGTCAAGTTCCAGTCGAATCACACTCCAGCAACGTTTTTTGTATAAAAATACTTTACCAGAACGATATCGAACCGAAAACGGACTGTGATCGGCACGGTAGTGTGGATCGGGCCATATTAATACTATACATTATATGTATGCAGACAGACACCTAAGCCTTTAAATAAGTGTTTCTTTAATATTATGGAAATTGTTACAATTTTAACATTATTTTAATATATTATGTAACACATTTAGAATTATTCATCGTATTATATATGTATATCGGTAGACGAGCGCAATTATCGTTATTTATTATTTATTAGATTAGATATTCAGGTCACACTGGCCTGTTGGCCAGACAACTTATTTGAAAAAAAATATACCATAGCTTAGTGATGGAAGTTACTGTTTATAGATTGTGTTGTGGGTTAGATCAATACGAGGGACCGAATATTTGAAATTACTACAGAAGAGTTTTTTTATGTATGAATGATTACGCGTGACATCAGAACACGTTATTATTAGTAAGCCAACTAAAAGAAGAATTTGCTTCGTTTACTTATAATATACCTATCCCATAGCAGCCATATATATATAATATACATTCATCGTTCAAAAAAGCACAAGATACACAATGAGCGCCAAAATATGTCCTCACCGAATGAGCGCTCATTTGAACTTTTAAGTGCACTTTTTTTTGTGAAAACAACTTTAAGCATCGCATTTAAGGTTTAATTTACATTTTTATTCAATTTACAATTTACATTGTTATATATTTATTTCAAGTAGAACAATAACCTTAACACAATTGGTGAATTTTTGCATGGGATTGTGTAAGTGTATCTGGTACTTTTTTGATCGATTGATAAATCATCAAAAGTACGATGTAAGTTCTTAAACCTTTTTTTATCTATTGACTAGAGAGATGAAAAAGAAATTTAAAAGTTTCATTTTTCTTATTAAAAAGTTTAATAAGCTCATATTTTCTGATATTTACAGGTACGGATAATGAAAATGCTCGACCACCCCAACATAGTGAAGTTGTTCCAAGTGATTGAAACTGAGAAGACCTTGTATCTTGTTATGGAATACGCGTCCGGCGGTGAAGTGAGTTCGATGCATAGATTACACTTTAATATAGTCATTTAACTAAATAAGGACACATATTTTGAAGAAATGAAAAGAAGAAATTTGAGGACACGTTTGGCTCAGTTTGTAGTGACCCTACTAGCTGTGCCAAGGGTCACGGGTTCGAGTCCCGCTGGGGGCATTCATTTTTGTACTCCTGGGTGTTTATATTTATAATATGTATGTGTTTAAAGTTATGTATCTGTAGTGTATCGACTATCTGGTATCCCTAACACAACCCTCGTAGCTTACCATGGAACTAGATGGTGCTGCGTGTTAATTACACATCATATTTATATCAATATATTTATATTAAATTATCTGTCAAAATGAATAAAATGAGTTTCAACTCAAAAAAGTTTATAAGCCAATGAGTCAGTTCCGCTATCTATCTTTTGGCTAACTCTTTCGATCAAAGGATTATCAGATTATAAGAAGATTTGATTACAGAGTAACTTGTAAGGGAATGTAGTATATTTTTTTAGACAGCACAATAACATCAAATCAATGCCAAATCCATTGGTGTCGTCTAAAAATTTATATAGAATTTACTTTTCTAAGTTAAAAAATCTATACAGATAAATAAAATGGAAGTGGCTTTTTGTAATGTCAATATAACAGCTTTTTACTTAATGTATATAATATTATATATTTATAAGGAAAACACATCTTTTTAAACGTTTGTCTCTCTGTCTATTTTTTCCGGCTAATCTCCAAAACGGCTGGGCTGATTTTGTTGGGACTTTCACTGGCAGATAACTAATGTTATACTTTTATTTTAAGAAAAGCATTAGGTTTCCGTTCAAAATATATAAAACGTACCTAGGGATGCACTCGAGCGAAGCGAGAGTCGGTAGTTATAAATAAATATTGAAAATATATATTATTATTCTAACTAATATAATGAAAAACCTTTTAAACTGTCCTTGATTATATTACATTGGGAGACACAAAGTTAATGGAACTTCCACCAAGTTTTGTCTCATAATGTATTCCTAAGAGGGTTCAAACTTGAAACTTTTGCAAATAGTACTATACTAAACTTTGTATAGGACGTTACGGACGTTATTTAGCCTACTTTTGTAAAGCTTTTCGTTAAGAGTACGGCAGAAAACCGTAATTTATAATATTTAGTTACAAATTCGAAACACGTTCGGATTGTATATGAGTAGGAATTTTTCTCTCTTGAGCTTTAAGTAGCCTTTATTTTGTATGAAGAGGTAGATCTTATTATATAATAAGTATTTTTTAACAAAATATTAACTTTCTTAACACTGCACAAAAAATTTATTATTAAGAAAAATTTAAAGTCGTTACACATACAAACCTTTTTTGAACTCCGTTAATTAGATCCCGAAAATATCTAACAAGTTCGTAATGTTTGTTTATATTCTATATACTAGCGGCTTACCCTCGCTTCGCTTGGATGTTTTAATTTTCTTGAGCGGAACCCGATTTTTTTTTCTAAAATAAAAGTGGCCTAAGTTACTCTTTATAACATCAGCTATCTACCAGTGAAAGTCCCGTCTAAATCGTTCCAGCCATTTCGGAGATTAGCCGGAATAAACAGACAGTTAGACAAAAATTTTACAAATTGTGTTTATATATATTATATATAGGTAATTCAATATGCATTTAGTAAAAAGGTGTTATTTTGACGTTACAAAGGGACACTTCGATTTTATTTGTCGGTATGTATTAATATCCTAGGTTTCTTAAAGTAGATTACGTATTACTCCTGGCCACAGTCTTATCAGGTCATCACTAAGGAACAATATAGACATTGTCGCAAAACTAAGACAGTGGTAGCCCAGTGGCAAGCGAGTTCGAATATCGGGTCTCGCACCTCTGATATTTTCATGTGTGAATCATTTCTAACATGATTACCTGATGATGACATGATTACCTTACCTTACTTGTCTTACGGTGAATAAAAACATCATGAGGAAACCTACATGCCTGAGAGAACAAAAGTTTTCGAAAAACATATGAAGTCGCATGGTGGACTATAGCCTAATCCCCTTCGTATTGAAAGGAGGGCGTTGCCTAGCAGTGGGATGTTGAAAATGGCTGTATATATAAATAAGCCAAATAATAATGTTATTGTATACAAATGACAATTTATATATTGAGTGATAAGTAAATAAATGTTACTTACTATATGAATATAGCGAAACCTATATATTTATAATATAGTATAACTTTATATTTATTTATGTTTTAGGTGTTCGATTATTTAGTACTACACGGGCGTATGAAGGAGAAGGAAGCGCGAGCCAAGTTCCGTCAGATCGTATCAGCAGTGCAGTACTGTCATCAAAAACGGATCATTCATAGGGATTTGAAGGTATTATATACAGACTAGCGGACCCGACAGACGTTGTCCTGTCTACACGTCTTTAATTTGAAAATTTCAAACTTTTTTTAATAATTTTTTTGATGAAAATTATTATTCAAATTGTGAATCTAAACCATTCCCAGATCCCCTTGAACACACACAAAAAATTTCATCAAAATCGGTCCAGTCGTTTGAGAGAAGTTCAGTGACATACACACTCACAGAAGAATTATATATATATATAGATATAGTTAGTTTATTTGTCTGTTTTTGTGTTGGTTATTGTAGCCTTTTTATAAGGAAATAGTTTGAGACTTGAGGTTCTCTACATTTAATTGTATTTGTATAGGGTTCGGAGTGGGAGTCTAATAACACGACTATAAGATTAAAATTTAGGGCGTTGCTAGTCCAGTGGTAATGCGCTCGCTTGGGAAGCCGAGTAAAGTGGGTTCAAACTCCGGGTCTCTCACCTCTGATATTTTCATTTGTGATTCATTTCCAAAATGATCACTACCTGTCTTTACGGTGAAGGAAAATATCGTGAGGAAACCTGCTTGTCTGAGAGAATTTAACAAGTTTTCAAAAGACATGCTTAGTCCGCCAACCCGCACTTGGCCAGCATGGTGGACAATGGCCTGATCGCTTCGCATTAAAAGGAGGCCCGTGCCCAGCAAGGGAACGTTAAAAAGGGTTGAATGCAGGATTTAACTTTAATCAATATTATCTTTAATATTCCAAGATATAATAAGATACAGTGGCTTAAATAGATATTTAAAGTAGGTTGATTACATCACTAAATGCTAACACCACGTTGGTATTTATTATGTTTAGAGCTCGTTAAAAGGTTATAAAAGCTTTTAAGACGATATGTGTATGAGAGTTATTGAATGTAGTCAACTTTTAAATGAAAAATCAATAAACTCTATCTGTTGAGTTTTTTAGTATACTTCATTATTTTATCTATTATAATAATGATTCATTTCCTATATGCAGTAGCGGATTTAGGCTCGGGCCCGTGAGGCCCGGGCCTATGGCGGCAAATTTTGAGGGGCGCCAAAATTTTTAAGACGACTAAAATTTGAAATCAATTGGGTTTTCTGTAAACTAATAACATTTTAAGGTTTATTTTCTTGCGCTCTTACAATCTAAACATAGTACCATTTCAAGGGTAGAATTTCTTTGTTAAACTAATTAATTTATATATACTGTTACGAAAGGAATAGGGCGCCATATCGACTTGGGCCTAGGGCTCCATCGAACCTAAATCCACTACTGCCTATATGTAATTTAATTTATCGTTTTAAATAATAGTAATCAATTTCAGGCGGAAAACCTCCTCCTCGACGGTGAGATGAACATAAAGATAGCGGATTTCGGCTTCTCGAACGAGTTCACACCCGGCGCCAAGCTGGACACGTTCTGCGGCTCGCCGCCATACGCCGCGCCCGAACTATTTCAAGGTAACATTACATTAAGACCTCCAGGTAAATTTCTAAGAAATTAATTAAATTTCTAAGAAATCTATTGTTAACTGTAACGCCAGCGTATCCGTGCTCGTGGAGGGATTAACTTCTACCTACCTAGATATGTTGGGCTTTTGTCGGAAAAGATATAAAAAATGCATTTTTAGGGTTCCGTACCTAACAAGGAAAAAAGAAACCCTTATTGGATCGAAAGAGTTGTCGTTGTCTGTCTTTCTGACTGACTGTCAAAAAACTTTTTCTCAGGAACGCGTGGTGGTTTTAAGTTGAAATTAATATCAAATATTTACTCATACTAAATTTCTAAGTAAACGTAATTGAAAGAGAACGGATGTTTATGCGTCATATTTTGACACTCGTGTGGGAATGAAAACCTATATAGTAGCATAAACAACAAATCACGCTACTATTTTTGACGACATTTATTTTGGCGGACTTCGTCTATATGTCTATACCTTTGCAAACAAAAATTATATTTTAATTACTGTATTTATTTTTAAGTATAAGGAATATTATGTATATATATCCCCAACCTCGGAGAGGCTTGGAGGCCTTCATCCTCAAGTAGAGGGGTTGACGCTAATTTTAAAACTTTAATTAATCCAAAATAATAGAAACAATTTAGTATATTAAATAATTTAATAATAATAATATTTATTTGTACAATAATTTATAAATATAATTATAAAAATTTATAATTAAAATAATTTATATAAAATTAATAATTTAATAATGTAAAAATGTAAAAATATAATGCATGTTGATTATCGCTTCTATACTGAATTATGTTGATTAATTAATTACATTAAAAAAATGTGTAATGTATTAGTTTATTAATTACTAGTAGTGAAAAAGAAGGCTTTTTTGTTATTATTTATTTATTATATCCCCTAATCTGCTCGCAGGCAAGAAGTACGACGGGCCCGAGGTGGACGTGTGGTCGCTGGGCGTGATCCTCTACACGCTGGTCTCCGGCTCGCTGCCCTTCGACGGCTCCACGCTGCGGGAGCTGCGCGAGAGGGTGCTGCGCGGCAAGTATAGGTGGGTTTGTGTGTGTGTGTGATAGTGTTATATGTAATATATAAACATATATATATGTTGGGATATTAACACACAGCACCATCTAGTTCCATGGTAAGCTACGAGGCTTGTGTTATGGATACCGGATAGTTGATACACTACACATAGATAACTTTAAACATATGTATAACTATACTAATGTTATAAAGAGGTAAAGTTTGTCAGTTTGTGACGTTGTAGGGGGGTAATCTCTGGATCTACTGAACCGATTTAAATTAAATTTGGTAAGAACATAGTTTGAGACCCTGGGGAAGGACATAAGGTACTTTTTATCCCGGAAATCATTCCTTAAGGGGGTGAATGTGGGGATAAAAGTTTGTTTTGGAAGCAAGCTAGGAACGAACTCGAGCGAAGCGAGGGTGAGTCGCTAGTATGTAATATATGAATAAATAGCGACTCACGCCCCTAAGTAAGTTTTAATAGTTAGCATGGAATAGATAGACTATATTATATTATATGCATATACATATAGGTGTGATGAGTTGTTGTAAGTTGTATTATAACGTGTTTTCCCGTGGGAATGAGAGAACCCGGTACAATAAATTTTGTTTTGTTTTTTATATATGACTGGTAGTAATATGTTTTTATTGTTATTACTTGCTACGTTTATCGCTAAGTTTCGAAGTAACTTATATCGATATATGAATAAAATAAATTTAAGTAATTAAAACCCACCATTCCAGGATACCGTTCTACATGTCTACCGACTGTGAGAACCTATTGAAGAAGTTCCTGGTCCTAAACCCGGCGAAAAGAGCTTCGCTGGAGAGCATCATGAGGGATAAATGGATGAACACGGGATACGAGGAGGAGGAGCTGCGGCCTTATATAGAGCCTCAGCAGGACTTCAAGGATCATAAACGGATAGGTGAGTTTGATTGGCTTTTTTTTAATCTTGTTTAGGGATAGGGGGGATTTATATCTATGTTAAATTTGCGAGATTACAATATTTCAGAATGTATGAGTTCTACAAAATTTTAATTTGACAAGTGTTATTTTGTATATTTTGAATAAGTTTTGGATATTCAATCCCTGAAAGGGTAAATATTGCGTTAGAATTTTGTATGTAAATTTGTTATTTTTAAGGTACGCAAGCAAATGCTAGATTATAATATTAGTAAAAAAATTGTAATAGGTCAATTTTAAAGAAAATCATTTGATGTAAGAGAAATAGAATAAATAATTGTATGTGGGATTTATTTTAATTGATCTGGGGATGGTATTTTAAGTATAGTAGCTTATATTTTATCGTAAACGTAAAAGTATATCAGTATTATACAAAAGTGATTAATATTAATGAGATAATATAAATGTTAGAAAAACTGTTTTTCTAAGGAATCACGTAGTTTACTTGATTGTTTTTGAGGTGACATGTAATATTTTTTTTAAAAGAGCTCGAATTCGAACAAAATTGAATTTAAAAAAAAGTTCGACAAAGGATATATTTGTATTGAAAATAGATTTAGAGTAATTTTTTGAGCTATACTAACACAAACACACATACTAATACACTTGAATGCTGAAACGACCAGCTTAAGGTATACTTTGCACAAATCACTAAACATTCTTTCAAGCTTTCCCCTACCTTAGATAATACCTACTACGCTAATCTTTGAGAAATAATAGCTAACACACGCTTGTATATAAAACTAAAACATCGGTTATTCGAGCCCAAAATTATAATATCGGATCCAAAATTTTATAATATATTCAATTATTGACTGAAAATGTTTAATTAGGACTCCAAATTGTTTATATGTATTAGTATTTGCAGATAATTCTGTACGTACATTGTGAGTGGTAATTGCTATCGATTTGTAGATTTTTAACTAATAAGTTAGTTATTTTTGTATAAAATTAAAAAGAAAACATTGTTATGACTAATTAATTTGGTTATACTGTTTAAGATGCGCACACGCAACCGAAGTTCACTGAAGTGAAGTTAGTGACTTGCGCTAACTTCAAGGCTTATTATTAATTTTGTAATATCTTTATATTACATACTGTTTGCGAGATATGTCTTTTTGATATTTTATTGGTTTGTAGAGAGATACTGTTTAAAATTTTCGGCTATTTGATTAATTGTATATATATATATATTCATAAATTTATTAAAAATCGATTACAATTCCACTCAAATATAATACCGAGATGGTATTATAAATATATTATATATCGTAATAAGCAATGTTTCTACGTTTCATGCGCGCCGCTATACTCCACAGCGCAAGTTGGTACGTGACCGTTACGCGGTACTAATGTTATTTCAGTATATGTGTATTATTTACTGCCGGCTTTATATGTCTTTTGATTGTTATATAGATTTGGTTTTATCAAAATTGGTATAACTTTGTAGACTGTCTAGTTGAAAAATAAAAAAAATCATACATCATACTTTCTTAGATTTACGCAAATGTTTGACATTTTAAATAAAACTATCTTTTCGGATTATTTCGCGTATTTATTTTGATTTTTAATTCGACGTTACAGATAGTGCCTAAGGCACTGACTATAAAAAGTATATAATGCCTTTGAGACATCTATAACGTTAGACCTTAGTCTCTTCCGTGACCATGATTGCTGTAAAGCATTCGAAACGTCGGACACCAAAAATCAATATAAATCTTCGAAATAATGTGCAAATATAATTTTATTTATAGTGAAACATCAATAAAAAATAGATTTTTTTAATAATCGATTTATAATTATATATAAATATTAGTATTTTAAAACATTCCTTGTAATAAATCTCTCTACTGAATCTAAAATCAAAAGGCATTTAATGAGGCAGATATTAATTTTGATTTCAATTAAGCTTTTGTGTGCATGCTTTAGGAAGATTATATTATGATTATTATTTATTTTTATGTTTTTTTAAATTTTTCAGTTTAATATCGATTACAACATTGATTATTATAATTTAATTGGTGTGTACTTAAGACTTAGGTCTTAAGTAATGTAATGTGCGATAGTTGGGTATCTTTGCATGATACATATTCATATATATTTTCTTTAATATATTTATTTTTATATTAATTTCAAGTGTTATTCAACAATTAAACATCAACGACACTGTCATTCTAATAACTTATCAATGCTTGACTTTCCTCATTAAACGTAGACAGACATTGTATTTATGCTCCATACAAATCATTTCAAATTACTATCTTTAGTAAGTAGATCAATCGATACATAGGTATTGGGATTCACCAAAGTTAAAATAGAATATTCTAATTTGTGTCTTAAACGAAGACAAGTTTCTTTTTAATAAATTGTACCTAAACCTATCCTTTACTCGTAATAGTATGTACATTGTACATATAATGTCTGATCAATGAATTCTTTAGTAATGCGATATATATTTTGTTTTAAATTGCGATTTGGTTGAATAATACTTGAAAATGATTATATATGTTTATAAAAAATAGTATTTTTTTTCCTTACACACTTTTGTCACTTTCATATTACTTTATAATTGCGTCTATGTTTTATTTTTATTGAATGTATGTATGTATGTACTGTAAATGGGTGTTTTAAATGTACCTATATATGTATATATAGATTTAAATTTGACTTTAATATATAGTAAAAAAAGATAATATACTATTTATTGTTGCTCTCTTATAAAGCGAAATATGTATATATTTTTGAAATAAATCGTTGATTTTTATATAATAATGGACATAAAATCGAGATGATGATGATCCATTCAATACTCGAAAATCATTATCCCCTAAAACTATCCGCCAACATTCGTTTTGCTTACAAATTTTTTAATGTTGTCTTGTTTTTATGTTTCCAGAGGCGCTAGTGTGCCTGGGTTATAATCGACAAGAGATCGAGTACTCTTTAGCCGAAGCTAAGTACGACGACGTGTTCGCTACGTACTTGCTTCTCGGCAGGAAAAGTACAGATGTGAGTGTTTTTTTTTCATTGTTTTTCTATGTATTCAAATATAATATTCTTGAAGGAAATTCTGTGGTTGTGGTAAATGAAATATTAAGTATTTTATCACGTCTATTGCACCACATATACAACGGAACTCTGAAGAAGAAAAGATGACAGACAATATATATAGATATAGAACAGCAGCGCTACACGCGGAAACAGGAAATAAAAATGGTTGCGTTCCTTTTCACTAACAATTCTAGTATTATAAAAGCGAAAGTGTGTATGTTTGTTCGTTAGTTACTCTTTTACGCTGAAACGACTGGACGGATTTCGATGAAATTTTGTATACAGATAGAATATGAGCTGGAGTAACAATTTAATTAGCAACTAGGCGAAGCTAGGCTAAACCATTAATATTATTGTCAGATTGTGAATAATGAGTGAGTGCTTGATAGTTCTTCACGCTGTAATGGCTGAATGTAGCGTTTACCGGATGAAAACAGATAATTAACATATCTCTTATAACATAACTAGCAAAATACCCTCGCTTTCCTCGGGTGCGATTTGACTTTCAATTTTTTGGGTTTTGATTTTTTGCGCGGAATCAAAATTCATTTTCTAAAATAAAAGTAGCCTTAGTTACCTCTTATAATATCAGCTATCTGCCAGTGAAAGCCTCGTCAAAATCGACGAGCCGTCTCGGAGATTACTCCGAACAAACAGACAAAAAAAATGTTTCTTATAATTACCGTATATAATTTCATATGCATTTAGTAAAAAGGTGTTACTTTGACATCACAAACAGACACTTCAATTTTATTTACCTGTATAGATATTTGTTCTAACATAAGTAATATTTGGCAGCCGGAGTCGGACGGCAGCCGGTCGGGGTCGTCGCTGTCGCTGCGCAACACGGCGGCGCCCGGCCAGCCGCAGCAGCCGCAGGCCAACTCGCACGCCGGTAAGTGCACAACACACATACATACACACACATGCATATACGTACATAGATACGGTCATACATACATATATAGTAGGGTGGAGCAGAATTTTTTTTTTTGGGTTTTTTGCCTTAACTTGCGGGTAGAATTTGTAGCTTATTTGTATATTAATTTTTATTTTATTTATATATAGCTTAGCAGTGAAAGTTGGGTAGAAAATGACTATATTCGTTAATTCTTGAATACATATTTTCAAAGGTGATCAGTCAAAAAAAACCATTCAAACTAAACATTTAAATTATTTTAACAAACAAGTGGGCCATCTCAAATTGTTGAGTAAAAATTATTTTTCAAATTTTTTTATAAGCTATAAATTCTACCCCCAAGCTAAGAAAAAAAACATAAATTTTTTTTCGCTCCACCCTAATATACATACATATACACATACATATATTCATTCATACACCTGTTTGAGTGTGTGTGTGTGCTGACATGCATATTAATTAATACACATGTAAACATATAACACACATAATACGGACAAAGACAGTGAGACTCTAATAGTTATTTATTTTATATCTATTGCTACCGTTTTAAATGTATGTATAAAATGGAAAATGACAGAGTAGTAAATTTTTGAGAGTGGTTTTTAAATAAGAATGAAACGATATTATAATGAAATGAGATCTAAGTCACATTGATGTACATACACAAAGTTTTCTAGTAGTCCTCGTTTCTGATAGTTACATTTTCTCTTATTGTTTTCTCAATTACAAATTCATTTAACACATTCGAAACTATTTGAAAGTTATTACACAGTAAAATACACACGTATTATATATTAATTCATAAGATTTTCATAGATTTATTATGGGGCTATCTATTTACTATAAGCTGTGTAAAATAGGCTTAGGATAAAGTAATATATTTACAAGTAATAGTAATAAGTAATGCTTCAATTATGCATTCAATAGAGAACAAAGCAAAAAAATGTTTTATTTGATCTAATAAATAACATTGATTTTGTTGAAATCGGTTAGAATATGTTATTTTATGTAATAATTAGGGGAAATGTCAAGTAAATATTTGTAGGAAGTTTTGGTTATATTCGTTTTTTTTAAAGTTCTTGATTCTTTAAATGCTATGTTTGTTTTGTTTGTTCTCTTATGAATACATATAAAGTGCTTAGGTTATAATACATTTAATGAGAAATAATTTGGGCGAGCTTCATCTTAGCTTATCTAACAGGACAAATGACATCAGTCTAAATAGAAAGCTATATAATATCATTTGAGGTCCATTTGTTAATATACTGTGACTTGGAATTAAAAGAAAATAGTTCAAAACTATTATTAATATTCTGCCAAAAAAAAAACATTGAGGGTAACTTTGAACATACAATGACGTTCAATGTTACCCCTTAAAAATGAAATCGTTTCATGGGAATGTTTATTTAGTAATCTCAACTTTTCCTTCCAAGCCGTAGTGACTTGTTGCTTTTTTTATTTTTACTGTATATTTGTGTGCTTAACGTGTCGTACACCCAACGCAACTGTAACCGTGACATCTTCCTTTGTATTGTTAGTACGTACAATGTGTTTGTTTTTGTGTACCCACTTCTATTAGAACTGTCAATTACTATCGAAATATCCTGCCTTTTGACGTCTTTTCTCGGTGAATATGGAAATGGCATGATGTAATGGTAAATAGAGTGTGATTTAAATGTGCAAAGTAAGGGAGCGGTATATAGTCGCGCCGGGTGTACCTCGGGGCGGTATTGTATCGCGGGGTGATGCCATTTATTTTGCGATGGATATTGACGTTGTGACATTTGATACTATTATAGACGAGTTGAACTTAAATTTTAAGTTAAAATTGATTTTAATTTCGTCCGGAATAATGATAGATTTAATTTAATCGTAATAAATGAATACACAATTCAATTATTTTAATAAACTATGTATATGGGCATATTTGAATTGTTTGGATTGTTTTGTCCAACTGACTTTTGGTAGAGAACTATCTCAGAACAGTTCTCGTTCACCGTTCACTGTATCACGAACATTTGATAGCCGCGCCCAAAATTTAATAACATTCATTGTGGGCTGGAATGAACATATTTGTATTAATTGATGAAAATAATATATCAATTATTATAATTGGTAAATAATTATTTTATTATTTGTTGATACTTTTATGTATTAATATTTTTACACAATTTATTAATTAGACTAGAGAATAGAGAATTGCTGATAGCCATGAGTACTTGGATTAATAATAAATAAAATAACCTTATACCAAATTCAGTAACTTACAACAAAAAAAAAGACATGGACTCATTTTTATATGTAGACAGTAGAATATAGCCACGACCGATCGATATTTAATAGTACTTGGATTAATGAGGATTTAATAATCTTATTATATGTGAAAAATGGTTCAATTGCTCACGTTTGTCTTTACATAATATGAGCATTGTACATATATTATATGTACGTGTAAGATAAATGGTCGCAAATATCGCACACGTCACTATCGCCATTCGCACTCGACTGACGGCCGTCACGCGGGGGGTGTGGGCAGGCGCGGGCGCGGGCGGGGGCGGGGGGTGCGCGTCGCCCTCGCACCGCGGCGTGCAGCGCAGCATATCGGCGAGCGCGCGGCCGGCTGCCTCGCGCCGCGCGTCCTCCGGCGCGGAGGTGTTGCGCGCGCAAGGTCAGTGCTGTTGTAGTGCTAGCGGGGTGTGGGGGGAGGTAGGGATGATAGTAGTTGGGTGAGCGCAGGGTTAGTGCTAGTGAGTGTAGAATGGGGTAATAATAGTTCTATAAGCTTAGTGCTAGTGGGGGTAACAGTGGGCAGAAGGGTTGTGGGGTAATAATGGGAGAAATGACAATTGTATAAACGCGATAATAGTGTGGGAGAGGGGTAATAGAACAGTGTTAAAAATTCATACAGTGAAGGAGGGAGACGGGTAAGAGGTTTAACAGTGAGGGAGCGTGCTAATAGCACAGTATAACAATAATTTAATATATGTAGTAGGCGTATGCCTACTCATTGATTTTTAGTGGTAGTTATTGGGGTGATATTTAATGGAAATGATTTTAAATGCAAGGGTTGTCAAAATACATTTTTTTTTGATAAATGGCGAATGGTTTCGAATTTTAATGCGCTTGTTGCAAGTTACTGTTATCTGTCAACCTTTAAGGCCGTTCCCCATCTGTTATATAAAATTATGTATGGCAGTCGGGAAACGGCTTTAGAGTTGACAGATACAACAGAAGACAAGTTTCACCTCACCCGCCTTGTCTAGATGATCTTCACTAGACAACTATATAGAGGTAATATATGGGTGTCATGGGGAGTAAGTCTACTTATGGGAATAGTACCGTTGAGGGTGACAGTGAGGTGGTAGTGAATAGGCGATATAATAGAGAATAGTTGGGGTAAGCTTAGGTTTTCTGTATATATTATGTATAAAGTAACACAAGTGTAAAAGTAAAATATTGATACGTACATATGTCGTGTTGCATGAATTAGTTTTGTTTCTACGTCCAATGTTAGATGTAGTGCGAGGCTTGATTTTAGCTGTGTGTTGCGCCTTTTATTTGCATGTTACGTGAACGTGGTTCATTTGTGATGTTTTTACGTATAGTTATGATTGATAAAAGATTCATTATTATTATTACATAACTTCAATTTTTTTAATACAGTTCTTTTCATACTTAAATGTACATTACACTTGTTGCAATTTTATTTTACACTTTTTACCCCATGTTGCTGAATAATTAATGGTGTAAAATATTTTTTTTTGAAGTACCGTGTAGAATTCCATTTGTGTGAAGCTAGACCTACTTTTTATGCTATTTCTTATTCAGGGAAACGCTGTACCAGCAAAATAGACGCACAAAATCAATCTAGGCTTTAGCCCTTGCATGTTCGTAAGCTTCATTTATTTGTAATTTTATATTTCTACAGTTACGCATGACACGCTTATCATTTATATTGGCACAAATATATTCGAATATTTTTATATATTTTTTTTTATTTAGAAATAAAAATCAATCAATGCTATATAATATTTTCTTATTTTACTAGATGTTGCCATATTTATTTTAAATTGTATATTTTTATGTACATAATATTATGTGTTTCATACATATATCAATGTATCAATATGTAATGCATGAATTCGTTAAAACATCTATGTATTTGTGTAATAAGCGTTTATTCCACTCTAATGTTAGAAATTACCTTTTTCGAAATCTGTGAATCTGTATGTTTCCTCTTAAACTCTAAATATTCAAATCTTTAGTATATTCTGAAGTTAGTTTTGCCTATTTATTTAAAGCCATACATTTCTCTAATTTCTAAATTTTTTAACCTGTTTCTTGCACCTAAAATTTGAATTATATCGAACCCTTTAGCATGAAAGATATGACATTCTCTTCAATTAGCTCTTCATTTGTAATGGCATGTAAAATCCTATGTATATGTTTGTTCATTCCTTCAAATTAAACGAATGGACCGAATTTGATTAACTTCAAATACGAATAGTTTCGTAGTTTCTTATCATGTTTTTGAAAACTTTCACCAGATAACTTTAAAATTATAGGTACCCTTAGGAAATAGTGGTATTATTACTCCTTTTGTTATCAATTAGTAGGTTTAGTATGTAGGATATTCATAATTCAATAGAAAAATTTAGCGTTCTCTTCAGTTTTATACCATTTTTTTACATTCTAGTACGATAAAAAGCTTATATGCTGTAAAAAGCAAGGCCCTTATTCTATACAAATACATATAATTTCGGGAAATATGTAAGGTATTTTTGAAAAGGCTTTCTAAGGCTTTGCCATATAACAATGCTTATCACTCTGCAATCATATACATATTGAAGCTTACGATTAGCGCAGTACATTGAGTTTGCTTACTTCAAAGATTGGTTTAAAATATAAATAAAAAATATATAACCTCTAATAGGATTTACTAGCATTATTTAAATGTGAGTTATCGTTTGTATTATATATGATAAATAATACGTAATAATAAATAATTATGTATAATAATAATAATTTTTCTTTACGTACATGTGTTTTTCTTAAATTAATTTGACACAACATAGATACAAAATTTTAGGTAAGCAAACTGTAAATGAGAATGATATGTTTATGGTGCTTTCAACATTCAAACACATAGATTAACTTGTTTTGTTTTTCTTTTTTCCACCCAAGAACAGGGATAATGTGTTTATTCTGGCATTACAGTGGGCACGACTACTAGCGCAGCCAATAACACAACGTCAACTGCCACTACAACTACGTCCAATTTTAAAAGACAAGTATGATTTTTTTTTTATAAGGTATTGATTTTTTCTTTTAATAAAGGTAGTAACTTATAAATTTTATGAATATGGACTTTAGTATTCTTAATATATTAGATCAGCATTCTTTAAAAGTTTTGTGTTTTATACTATAATATTGTTTCAGAATACAATTGACTCGGCTTCCATTAAGGAAAATACGGCACGGATTGCTCAGATGCAGGTAATTAATCTATATGTATATTATTACAATATATTCACAATTGTTTGTATGTATATTTAATTTGGTTATATATACACAAAATTACCTTAACTTCAGGAACATCTTAGACTAACATATATAGAGGGAACTTTCTTGGGAAAGTCAAAAATAAAAATTTGATATGTTGTTTATGCTACTATTCTGTATTTTGCCATACAGATTATTTACTTTCTTTAAAGAATAAGGGAAATTTTAAATATGTATTAGTTAAATTTATATTCCCCTTGAACAAGAGATAGCATTATATTAGCCTATTTTTTTGAAGTGAAACTTCTTTAGAATCGTTGTGATTTGAAACTTGATGAAAAGGAAATGCGACCCTAAAAAAATACAAACACATAAATACATATATAGGATTAAGCTGGCGAGAGAATGAGATAGAATACATTGCCATGTTGCCAAGTTTACCGTTGTTATTGTCTGTCAAATATATAATATATTCTTTCCGTATATGATATTCTATAAATATATGATTGTAATATGCCTAATATGCGTTATTTAATTATTGATTTGTTTTAAAATAATTGTGATATTTGCAAAAGAAGTTTTACTTCAACCGCGCGTAAAGGTTACATGCACCCATTTTTTTTTTATTTTTTAATAAATCAGGTACAAAATACAACGCGGCCAACAAGCGCTCAGCCCAAGCTCGAGCCGCGCTCGCGCACGCTCACGGGCGGCGCGCGGCGCGCCGAGCACGCGGCGCACGCGGCGCAGGTCGCGCCCAAGATGTCGCCGCCCAATGATAATCCCAGGTCGGTTCACGTTCTTGTATTCAGCCCTTTTTAACGTCCCACAGCTGGGGGTGGGCCTCCCTTCAATACGAGGGGGATAAGTCCACCACGCTGGCCAAGTAGGGGCGGACTGAGCATGTCTTCGACAATTTGTTAGGTTCTCTCAGACATGCAGGTTTCCTCACGATGTTTTCCTTCACCGTAAGACAAGTGGTAATCATGTAGGAAATGATTCGCGCATGAGAATATCAGAGGTGCGAGACCCGGCATTTGAACCCGCTTCACTCGGTCTCCCAAGCAAGCGCGTTACCAATGGGCTATCACTGCCTATACCTGCCTATGTCAGTATGATTGCGTGTTCATGTTCTTATTTTGGTTTAATTGTGTTGTCATATTAGCGATTTATACTGACTTTCCTCGTTCCCTAACTTACTAGACTTCAATTAAAGTTAATACTTTCTTACATTTAAGTGAATGTTTGACATTTTAAATAAAACTTATCTTTTCGGTTTTTTACGCGGATTAATTTTGATTTTTGGTCCTTGACGTTTCGAATGCTGTAAGAAAACTTTTTAAAAGCATGTTTTAAATTTTTTAATACATAATTATATTAATAAAAGCTAAAATAAAATAAATAATATTCTCCTATTCAATTATTAAAAAAAATATTTAAAATTAACAAGTATTGTAAGGTACTTTGATGCCATTTTTGTATTTTTGAAATCATTTTGCTATTTTGTGGATAGGCACTGTATGTAACAACTATGTAATGACCCTTGAGACGTTTAAAACCTTAGTCTCTCCCGTGACCATGATTACCGTAAAGCATTCGAAACGTCGGAAACCAAAAAATCCAAATATATCCGCGAAAAAAACCGAAAAGATACATAGTTTTATTTAAAATGTTAAATATTCGCATAAATCTAAAAAAAATATTATTTTTTCTACGTTATTGGATGTTATTTCTAAATTATTTCTAAACAACTTTTAACATTCACAAATGAGGTTTTTAATAATAATTTGTTTCTAATACCTACTACAATTCAGAGAAACACCATTCAATTTAATGCTAACATATTTTAACACTGCATTTAATTTTAACATGTGGATTTTGGGCTGCGATCTATGGAACATTGTGGTTTTTAAACATAGATATATTTAGATATAGATATATAAATAACTAGAACTTGTTAAGTCTGCATTATTACTAACAACGTTATAACAGATAGTTAAAGGTAATGGTGAAATTAACTTAATAATTTATATGTTTATGAAAAATCATTGTATTGTTATTATCGTATAAAATAAGCTTACTAACATACGTACATACATAAGGCTTACTAATATGTAAAAAAAGAAATCTTTTAAATGCTAATGTAATATGGTAATAGCTATTAATTTTAAAATAAGCAATGTTTGGTAAATATTAAAACACTTGTCCCAACAAATATATTATAATATTCACTTCATATTCATTAAAACACAAATAATACACTTCTTTGTTGACCGTATGTTCTTTTAATGTACTATTTTATTTATTAATCAACTATATCAATATAATTATCTAAAATAATGTATTATATATTCTATGTATGTATGTGTGTAGTGTTTCAATTATTGTGTTCAATAAGCCCATCTACACGTTTAACTATATAATAAAATAAAACATCCTACTTATTTTTATACAATATATAAGTCTATATATAATTAATATATCCCTATTTACCCTAATATATAAAGCATGTACCAATTTGACACAAAACGGACAATAATACAGTACACAAACGGGCCAAGACGCGAAGGGGACGGGTAACGGCACGACCCCCACAATAAACAAGACGCACGTGAAGAGCGCCTCGATATCGTCATCCAGCGGCGCCCCGCCCATGGGGGCGGAGCCCCATAACGCGTCGGCAAGGGACCTAGCGCAGCCCCGGCCGAGGTTTGGAGCTTTGTTATTAGAGTTTGTTTGTAGATGGGATGGATAGAGGATTTTTTTGTTTTTTTTTTCGCTGTGGAAGTAGGTTTTTTATTATTTGTTTCGCGGATTTTTACAGATTTTTTTCGGTTACCGAAGTTTCGAATGTTTTTTGTAAGCTTTTTTTTTTCGAGATTATTTTCGAATTTTATTTAATTTTTTGCTGTTAGCTGTTGTTGTAAAAGTATAAAAGTATGGGTTGTTATAAAATATGTATTAGAAAATATTAAAAAATCCCTATCCGTTTTTTAGAGGCAATCGCAAGCAAACAGTAACAAAGCTTTTGGATACAGCAATTTCACGTTTAGTTTTGATTTCGGTTTTGCAGCACAACATACACGGCTTTAATATTGGAGGTACTAGGATATATTAATAAGCTGTTATTGATATATCTAGTATTAGTTTTATAATTTTTCTTTCTAGCAACATGTTTCTTGCACAATATTTTGTAAATGTTAATTTTGTACAGCAACACCACAGGATTTTTTAACGTATTTTATCTCTGTTTTTATAATTTGTCACAATTTGTCGCTTGTAAATATACCTGCATTTTTTAATGTATAAAATCACTCAATGGAAAACACCAATTGATTGAATATTATGATAATTTGATTTTTTTTATATTTACCTTTTGATATAATTTGTAATTGATGGTTGTTTTTACTTTTTTTATTTTCAGCTTAATTTTCTTATATATGTTATTCTACTTCAAAACTTTGCACTTTCCACAATTTAGTGAATGCTTAATAAATAACGTTAATGCAGATTGCATGCTATTAGTTGTATGGATAGTAATTTAAATATATTTATATTAAATATTGTATTGTATTTTTATTTTATTTTAAAGATATATAAATAATTTAAAATTATTTTAGTTTGTTTTAAAATTGAAAACTTTTTGTAATTTTCATTCACTGTTTAATTTTATCGTGTTCAAGATTTTTTGTATATAATATTTTATAAACTTAGTTTCCAAATTGACTTGAAAATATGTGGCTTTATAATAAAACTAATTTATTAGCACTAATATATTTCTCTTCATTTTATTTAATAACTTACCCAATACAAAGTCAAAAATATCTACAATACAATAACGTAAATTTAAATAATTATCTTCCATATCTGCTTTTCTCAGCAGTGTTTTTCAAACTATTAATATTTCTATTAGTCCATCTAAATGTTCTTTAAAATGAGTTTAAAATTTAAAATAAACATGTTTATTTTGTGATTCTTTAAACAGCTTAAACTCAACACTGTCAACGGTGGGTGGTGTGTCAGCAACAAACACAGGCGCTGCCCGACGGGACTTCCCCGCGAATCCCACTTCGTTCCCAAGGAATGTGCCGTCTAGATCTACTTTCCATTCGGGTGAGTTTTATCATTTTTTGTACAGTATGCATTTGTAAGTTAGACATCTTTATAGTGTTTAATTAGTAATGATCCTTTTTATAATTACAGTAAACGATTATTGAGTATTATTCTGTTTTATAGTCGGTTTTAAAAAAGAGGATAGAAAAAAAGTTGTGGCATTGTTGATATGTCGCCATTTTCATATTTTTTTATACACTTGTGGCGCACAATGAAATGGGTTAAAATGAAAACCGTGATAATAATTAAAAATTAACTTAATGCATGGTAGTGTGTGTTGGTTGTATTTATATAATACATAGTTATTATCAAAGTGCTCAAATAACGATGTTTATCTTAAAATATTTCGGAAACGTGACACCTTAGAACATCTATATATATATATATATATATATATATATATATATATATATATATATATATATATATATATATATAATTTGTTTAGGTGTCCTCTATTCACACATTCTCTTTCTTGAGAAATTGTGTGACATGTAACATGTGGCGTATGTCTAGTGCCAGCTTCCGCAGAAAAATGTTGAGCCTCTATATATATTTGAGTTTCAATGTTCCAATGAATAATTTGTCACTGGTTTCAGGACAAACCCGATCCCGTGGCGGTAGCGCAGGCGGCGCGTACGGCGACAGCGGCTCCCCGCACCAACCTCGTACGTCATTCTTCTCCAAACTATCGTCGAGATTCTCTAAGCGGTGAGTTTTTGTACACATACATACATACATATGTATTACATACATCACATCATTACATACATCACACTAGCGACTCACCCTCGCTTCGCTCGGGTTCGTCCCTAGCTTGCTTTCCAATATAAACTTAAAATTTTCATACCCATTTTCACCCCCTTAAGGAATAATTTCTGGGATAAAAAGTATCCTATGTCCTTCCCATGGTCTCAAACTATCTTCTAACCAAATTTCATCCAAATCGGTTCAGTAGATCAAGAGCCCCCTGCAACGTCACAAACTCACAAACTTTAACTCTTCATAATATTATTATAGATGAACACTACCTACCGTACAGTTTGTGATATGTCATGTGCTTTGTGCATATACAGTATAGTGCATACGATTAGAATTAACCATTTCCATTATAAAAGAAACAATTTTTACACATTTTTGTGTTTCACATTAAATGTCACTATTGTTATGCTTTTTTTATATTTTGAGATACATTCTATATTAAACATTACTTTCATAATGATAAAGTTTTTTTATGATACTTATATATGATAATGATAAAACTATTTTTTAGTACACTATAGTGTTAACACTTACATACACTGTTATATTACAATAAAGATTAAAGGACCCATAATTGTTAAGGATTTTTTATAAAACAAATGATCTTTATATAAGGGCATGTAATTTATGTGACTAATCAAAATTGTTTAAATAGTTTGCATCATAATCCTGAACTTCTATGGGCATCAAAAAAAACATTGCAAAATTGCATTACTCGTGAATATTACTCATATTAATATGTAGTTGTCATTTCATTCCGTTTTTATTATTTATGGCACCTGTAATATTTGTTTATATTTATTTTAGAAAAAAATATTCGTAATATTCACGCTACAAGATTGTCTTACTCTACATAATAGTATCTAACAAAAACACGAGGAACGTTTCCACTAAAATTATAATAACCTAAGTTTAAGGTCTATATTTCTTCCACTTTATTATATTTTGTGTCGTCATACTTTTTGTTAAACTACCTCTGTTTGCTAGACGCTTCTAAGCTATGTTTCATTATGATCCATTTTTTTTTTATTTTGTGTTACCATTTAAATCATAATATAATTAATATTACTTAGAGTGAAATATTTATTTTAGTGATAATACGTGTTTTAGAATATTTTTGTAAATGGTAATACGAAATACTGTCAAAATATATTTAAAAAATCATTGCCATTTTTCATTCCCACCCCACGCATCAATGTTAGCCGCACGCTTCTAGCACCTTTGTGTCTCATTTCCACTTTATACATGCATTTCCAATACTTTAACTAGAAATAGAAGTTTTTCTTTACATCCAAATTGGCGCGTAAATTGCGACCACAGATTCTTATGGATAATTTTTTTTTAATAAGTAAAGGGTTGTGGAAAAGACTCGTTTAATAAAATCATAGACAAATGAACAGTGTTTGAGCTCAATTTTTCCATAATGCACGATTTATTTCTATTTTTCTATGATAGCCCAAAGCCTGTTCACGATTTTTGGTTGTTGTAAATAATGTTTCCATTAATACGTAACACACTGTCTGTCAATCTGTCACTTAATTTTTTTTATTAACCATTACGTTATGTGTCGCTCTGTGGATCATTACGATTTTGTGTGTTTATTTATATATATTTTGTTATCATTTGAAATTTTATTTATTTGGTGCTCAAATTGTCTCCCTCTAAAGATTCCGAGCTCCTACTTTTTTTGTTATTTTTGATTACTTTTTGTTCTCGCGTCAACACAGGGGATGCACGATGCTAAAACCTCCTACCTCCCTTACATATAGACAAACGCACTTGAAGAATTTTTATTCTAAATTGTACGATTGCGCGTTACCATTATGTTTCATTGCCTTGGAAATAACCGTTTGTAGACATAGCTCAAAGCATGATGTACTCCCCTATCTTGTAACCTTGACCGCTGATTTTATTTTATTTTATTTTTTTACTTGGCTACTAAAGTGTGAGCTGATGTTGATATAGCTATGCCACCATGCTTTGAATGTTGTTGTTAGAGCTTACTGATAATGACGAAGATCTGGCGTAAGTATCGACGGTTCATGTCGACCTGAGAGATGTACGGATTTTTTTTCTATAACATTTCGTGCATCCCCACGTGTTTTTTTTTTGTAAAAAAAAAGAAGACTAATTTTTATTCTAACCGTACGCTTCTACTAACGAGTCGTCGGTCGCGAGTTTTACTGCTTATAGTCTATCCACAACCCTTTAACGATTTAATCGCAACGTGACGGGCGTTTTTTTTAATTAATACGGAGGGAGCGTATAGTATTGTGCATCTGTGTTTCGCGAGAAATTAATAGGGTTGCCAGCATTCATTCTGGCAACCCGTTGACAGTGACAGCGTAAATTTAAAAAAAAAGTGAGCCGGAAATACAGAAGAGGGGGGCGGTTCGGCTTTTGGTTGGTCGATTCGCTCACCCGTTACGTTACTACGCAGGTTGAATCAAAATCCCTGAGGCTTTGCGGACGTCCGTGAAACGGAGAAGATTTATATAATATATTAATAATTAAGATAATATATAGAGAAATATGTGCAAAATTGTTATGCTTAATTTATGAGTTTTGTATGGAGTTATATCGGTAGGTTCTTAAGTTCTTTTTTTACTCAGTGTACATTGAAATTGCTAGGTTTTGAAGTATTTTATATGGGAAATTTCAATAAAAAACAGTCAAGATTTTTTTTAATTTTATACTTAGTGCTTAAATACAATAAACATAAATATATTAGGCATTTAATAGGATGAAAAAATATGCAATACTTGTTTATGAATAATATTCCATGAAACTAAAAATTATGAATATTGAAATTTGATATTAACTCTCGATTATTTTGCATTAAAAAAACTAACCTTTGCGGTTCATTTTACTTAAAAGTATTATTATCAATGCGCTGAGTAAATATATTAAAAATTATTTGTTTGAAAGGAATGAGTTAACATATTTTTATTTTCACTAAGTATAAGAAATGTTTAGGTATTTTCACATCTCATTCGAGTTTGATTTATATGGTATTAATAATTTTATATCGCGGCGACATTTCTGACTACATTTTGTATTATTAGAGTAATATTCAAACGTTTTAGAAAAAAATAAACATTTTGGAAACAAATAATTTTTTTTTACAAAAATACAGTATAGTAAATATGAATCCAGGCATATTTTTTTTATTTTATTTACTTAAAAGTTTAATTATAAGTAAATTTTTTGCCTTTATTTTCTATATCACAGTAAAAATCTTATTATTTTAATGATATAAAATGTAGCGGAAACCTAGTCCCGTCGCGCGTCGCATTTCATCGTAGTTAAGTGATTACAGTTCTCTTTTCGAACGAACTTTGTACATTCCAGGGATTCTTTTATGGTGTATGTGTTCTATTAAAGATTGTGCTCGTTAAAACGTAGGAAAAAATGAAAAAAATGTTGATTAAAAAGAAAATTTTTAAGTGTAAGTGAAAAATTATGTGAGCGTTTTAGTGAATACAATTTTTCTATAGGAAACGAAAATAGCACAAATTTTTTTTCTCTTCATATACGTAGATTGTTTTGGACTCGATTTAAATAAAATATTATGACTGAAAGGAATATTTTGTATATTAGCAATATTGTATTATAAAAATGAAGACATTTCGATTTTATATATCTCGTTCATGTGGGCCATTTTTTATTTACATATATTAATTATACTATACATTAGAACCATATACGGGATTCATTTAACGAAAATTTAATTTTGATTTAATCATACATAAATCAAATGGCCCGCAAACATAGCTACTTACAACCAATACTTAGAATGTAAAGGTGAGTGAGACATTATATAGTAATCGTTAGTACATAACCGTGGCCCATCCCTAACGTCGGTACAAATACTCAGTAGATATTACCAAGTAGAGATGCGTTAGGCAGCTATGAGATATACATATATTTAAAAAACAAACAAAAGAAATATATCTTAATTCTATTACGTTCATTTTTTTTTTGTTTCAATAAAATCTAATAAATTATATTTTTTATATACAATCAAAAAGGTTTAAATGTGAAATTTTGTACATTTATAAACTGTATAGATGTTTTCCTTGTGAAAATTCATGGTTCTGATCGCTTTAGTTTCTACTTAATCTTCTTTGGCTTCTCTCTACTAATTTGACAGATTTTTTACCATAAAAGAGATACTTATTTTATAATTAATATACCCAAACTTATATAGAAAAAAAGAGTTGAAAATACTAGTTTAGATAAAAAAAACTTTTTTGTATCGCTATAGGACTAGGAAATTTGAACAAAGTGTACATTTGTCCTATTTTATAAATAAGTAGATAGTATATTTTCATGGACTTAGCGAAATTTCACATATTTTTTTCTATGAATCAACTAGAATCAGTGTTAAATATATCGTGTACTATATTATATAACTAATCGATATAGGATTTTTTCATATTTTTTAACTACTCATAAATTAATATAGTTGTTAGTGTGTACATAAGTACGTTTGATGTATGGAAGACTGCACTATATATTATGCAATATGTTTTATGTTTTTTTGTGTATTCGTTTGACTATATTCAATAATCTATCTCATAGTTATTGCATACATTTTAAAAACAATATTTTTTTCCAGTTTTTTTTTGTTCTTGTAATTTTCCCAACACTCAGCACAATAGTTCTTGACTTTTTTTAATTATCATGATTTAAAATTTCTTTAGTCATGAAAATGTATGAGAAATATATCAAGGAAAATAATTATTTCCCTACCAACGGAAATATTTGTTTTTTTTTCTTGTGTTATAAGCGTAGAGAAATTGAAAAAAAATAATAAAACTATTTATATAATATATAATTAACTGTTATAAATGTTTTATCAGCAGTATTCATTAATATATTATACATATATAAATGTATGATTGTGAACAAAATGTCATGATTTAGGTGCTCTCCCTTTTTGGATAATGTTTTTTTTACAATCTTTGTTTAAAAAAAACATAATAAGTCCTTTTGACATATTCAGTGTGATAACGATTTAGATAGTTAAAATTGTTACAATTCATAATATTTGCTTTATTAACTTTGCTAAAATCGTATAAAAAATTTCGCGTCGCTTAAAAAATTACTTTTGAGTAGGTATACATTAATAGAAAAGGAAACCAATCGCTATACACTCTTTTTTTTCACAATCTTATTGATGACCATTTGTATTTCATTTACAAACATGTATTGTGATTATAAGTAACTAATTTCTATTTACATTGTTTCTTTAGACATGGCGACGTGGATTTGACAATTTTCTCGATTTTAATCTCATCTCGTGGTGACATTGTGTGAAATACGAACATGTGCATTATCCGTTTGTTAGTACTTTTTTATTTTTAATTATATCTTAATAGTAACATGCTGTAGGAAAGATACAATACATTCTACTTATACCCTAGATTATAAGTCCATGTAATAATGATTTAAAAAAATATTTCCCGTAATTTCTTAATATATTTTTTTTGTATATGTACGTATGATGCACATTTTCGATTATTAGCTTCTTTATTTTTTACTTTACAAGTCATTTGTAATTTTGTTTTTTTTTTACGTTTTTTTTTTATTTACGTTGAATTTTTTTGTCCCATTAATTCTGTTGACATAATCTGGTGTATTGCAATTCGACCTCGATGGTAGACAGATTAGAAAAAAGATGACTTTAAAACAAATATTAATATTCCCCATACATTTTTTTTATTTTTTTTTTTTAGAATTTTATTTAGCTAGTATTATAAAACGATTTTGGTATTCAATTTTTTTAATCTGTCTCCATCTTAATTATACTAAGCATTATTGTTGTAATATGCGTGAATTTTGAAGTATGTAATGAAAATGTAATATAATGAATGATGAATGGTTAGTATTGTATGTGTTGCGCTTATCCTAATAATCAGGTTTTCAATAAATATGTGTTTTATCTGTATACCCTTCCTACTTTATTAAATAAACTTGATATCATTTAAACAAAATATTTTATTTTTATAAAGTATCATGTCACGTTGCGATAAAATTTAAATAAAGATAATTTTTAGTACACAATATTATCGTTATTGTAGGTTTCATAATACTAGTTTTCTGTATTATGATTCCTTAACAAGTTTTTTTTCCAATAAAAACACTTAATTATTAGTTTTAAACAAATATCAATACATACTTCTTTTTCGTCGTTTTTTATTTTTTAATTTATTTTTCTTTTATAATATACCTATTTATAATTATATTTATTGTGACAGATATCCTTTACGTGGTTACTCTTTTTATAAAAATCTTTTAGTTCAATCATACACTTGGAATATGCTAGATATACAAACAACAATATTAATTATATTTATTTATAGTTTATTTTATTATATTGACATGGAAGTGTTTTTAGACTATCAGTGTTGGGCGAGTCGGCCGGACGGCAGAAACCGCGCATATTTTCCTCTCTGGACATACAGCGGAGGTACGCGCGGTGTATGACAGTTTGATTTTTAAATCCCGACACGATTTGGCGCGTTTGTGGCGTGACACATTATGCCAAAATAGAAAAGAGGTTGAAAGTTCATTGTAGTTTTTGTTTTGTGATTAAAATCATAAATTAATATTTTGAGTCATTAACATAGGATTTATAGTTCATCAATGTAAATAAAATATACATTTTTTAAGTACCTCATTTTACTTTTTATACTCGTATATATATTTTACTTCTATATAATATTTTTTATATAAATATTTCAGAATTTTCTTTATTTAATAGTTATCTATTTTTTTTATGAAATAAGAATTTTAAATTATATTGTGTCCTTTAAACCACAAATGAGCCATATGACGTGTTCGATCGATTTTTTAAATTACATCATTTTGTGTGTTGTCAAATTTAACGTGTAATCCAACCAATTCAATAGTTTTAAAAATTAAGTTACTAATCTGATAAAATATCTATATATTTTATATGTCCAAGAGTCACGTGTTACTATGTTAAAAATAAAATTGACATAATATATGTAGACATTTGCTTAAACACAATACAAAAAAAAAGAAAAATAGTAGCCATTTAAGTGCCACGGTAATTTAAAAAATAAACAAATTTATGTAGGCTTAATATTATTTCTAATTATTACAAAATATAGTTTAAAATGTTTTTTTTTTTTTTGGATCGGCTGGATTACGAACGTAAATAACAAAATTTAACCGTTGTGAGATTTTCGAGTGTTTTATTTTTAATAAATTAAAAATCATTAACATGTTTTGACTAATCCCATGGATTTTTTTTGATTTTGGATTGGTTTATGTATAGGTACAATATTTAAATATATTGTTATTAAATTTAAATATTTTAAATTCCAATATTATTTGCATGCAATAGTTAAAAATGACTTTTTTTTAATTTGTTTGCTTGATAAATGCTTAGGTTGAATAACATAAAAAGTAAATTTTGGGGACGTAACATCATAAATTAGGTTTAAAAAATACGTTAATTAGGATTTTTTTAAATAATATTTTTAATATTTATATATTTTATTATGATAGTATAATATACATTATACTTTTATGAAGCCCTACTATATCCGATAGTACCTACCTATTGAAATTTGAGCATGTTGTAGCATGATCATGACAAGCGGACGGTAAGTTCGGGATAATCAGCATGACGTATTAGATAGTTGTTTAGAATGTTCCGAAAGATGTCGTCGTCGCCTTGCTTCTGTATGCTTATGTAATGTTTTTCTTTATAAATTCTAAAATTTTTTTATTCATCGGTGATGTTTATACCAAGCTGTCAATTTTTTTTTATTTTATTATAAATGGAAGGTTCTAATATATTTTTTTAACATACAGTGTTAATGTAAATTATTATAAGGACAGCATAATTAATTATTGTATCATGTCGGCTTGTTATAAGTATCGGTTAGTGCATCGCGTCCCGCCCTAGTGTTTAGTGTTAGTTTATGTTTTTCTGTTTTTAGGCCTATCGACGGTTCCACTCCGAAGCATGCCGTAGGCGCTAGTCCGCAAGCCCTGCTTGGGTAATTATCCATTGGTTCATTTTATCTATATTATTATTTTACTTTACAAAATTTCTTATCTGTGAAAATTTTTTTGGTACTCACCTGTCAAAAATTACTGTGAATATTTTTAATCTGTCTCGTTTCTTTCCGCGGACACATTTTCCAATATATATTAAAACAATATTCTTTTGTTATTTAATTTTTCGATTTTTAGAAAATATTAGTTGTCATATATGTGCGTTAAAGTACCTACTATAAAATATTTTGTACCAAGCAAAGATCATTTTTATACAATAACAGTATTAACCTGCTTGCATCTCATTTTTATTATAATTCGCCGCCTTAACTAATATTAATCAATATAAAGCTTAGAACATTGCAAGTTTTGAAATAACCTTAGTTTTTTTTAATATTGATAGTTACATAAGCTCACAACACTTTCTGTTTATTTCATAGGTACCTAGTTACCTAGTAAAGACCTATATATTTATCATATGTTAAGTAAAATTATTATTTCAGTCGATCTTTTCTGTTTTTTGTTAATTTTAACATGAATTATAAAAGTTAAACGGCTTAATAAAAATATATAATAATATAATACAATAAAATTAGTAGGAAATATTTCCTATATTCTTCTATTAGAAAAGTTTTTATTAATTTAATGTACATACTCTATGTACGTAATAAATAACGTAAACGTATATAAAAAATATAAAAAGGGCAATATTCTTATTCTTTATTAACCCCATAAGCGTAAGTTAAAGCAACATTCGTAATATAAAATAATGCAACAATTATTCTATGTTATCATATAGACAGGGAACTGAGGAACAAGTGAAACCGCGTGTACTAAGATTTACGTGGAGTATGAAAACTACATCATCAAGGGATCCTAATGAGATCATGGCTGAAATACGTAAGGTGAGTTGTGATTAGAATTCTTTTTTTACTATAATATATAGGATTCACAGTTTAGGTACCTATATATTTGAAATAAAATGAGTACCTAATTATTATAAATAATAATTAATATAAATATAATTTTAAGTTTCTGAGCTCAGTTAAAGAGGTAAACTCTCAATTGAACACCTACATTGTGCACGAGTGAAGTAACTGACGTAGGCTTCCTGTGTGATATTTAGAATGTTTAAAAAAAAGACATGATTGTATTTGTTTCTTGATTTAAACGGAAATTGCAAAATTTAGTACTTTAAATAAAATTATCTTTTAAGATTCTTTTGCGGATTTTTATAGATAGGTCAAATTTTAACAAAATACATACTAATTCCAGGTGCTAGACGCGAACAACTGTGATTACGAGCAACGCGAACGATTTCTACTGTTGTGCGTCCACGGCGACCCCAACGCGGACTCGCTCGTCCAGTGGGAGATAGAGGTGTGCAAGCTGCCTCGCCTGTCCCTCAATGGTGTTCGGTTTAAACGGATATCCGGTGAGTTTTGCTTAGGATACATGGGAAAAATGTCGATCAAAAAAGTACTAGATACACAATCCGATGCAAAAGCTTCTTCTTCTTCTTCTCTTAAAACTGTCACCAATTTCTGTTGTAATTCTAGTTGAAATAAATATACATTAAACCTTAAATGCAATGCTTATAGTTGTTTTCACAAAATTAAATTAAAAGCACGCTCAAATGTTCAAATGAGCGCTCATTCGGTGAGGATGTTTTTTGTCGCTGGTTGTGTATCTAATAGGCTTTTTTTTGATCGGTGGGAAAAATGCGATTTAGTATTATAGAACAGTCTAACGAAGGCTTAATCGTTAGACGACTAAGCTTTCGTTATACGACATTTAACACTCAGTGTTGCCAAAATAAAGAATGATGTGTACTTATAATAACTCGTTTTATAATTTTTCATAAGGACAAGCGGAATCCATGCTTTGTCTATATATAATATTTATAAAATATTTATAATTTAGTCTATACAGATTTGGGGAAGCGCATCCGACTGTCATACTTACTTTTATATGAGAGTCGGGAAATGGTATAATATGTAATGTAATTTGTAAGTAATTTACCACGATACGGTATTATAGCGCTTTAAAAGGTTCGTGATGAAAATTAGTATTTGGTATATTTGACACCCGTGCACGTTTTTTATACATCTATAGGAGATTTCTTACTGTTTGGATTTTTTTAATTCTGTGATTACAGTTTGCTAATCGTCAGAAATTCATTATTAGTAAAAGTATTATTACTAAACAACAATTATTCATTTTCAGGCACAAGCATTGGCTTCAAGAACATTGCGTCGAAGATCGCGAACGAACTCAAACTGTGACTGCCCGGGAGCGTGCCCCACAGGCGCCGTCGACGTAGGCCTTCGCCCACCACCCCCCCATCCCCGTCCTCCCCGCCGCCGCCGCCGCCCCGCACCGACAGCCTCAAGCTGTCCACCGAGGACATGGTCCTGGTGGCGAACGCAGGCCTTCGTACTCCATCAGGTACACTAGCCCATTACCTAACAGCGTACACGCCGGACTCGTTCACGCGTAGCGACTATCTCAGACCACAACTCTCCACTTACACAGCAGACTCGTTCACACGAAGCGATTATTATCTACGACCGCCATCACCGGTACAACCGAGATCGTCGCTGTCACTGAGGGCCGATAGTATGGATGTTCCGCGTATAATGCACACGTCGAGTGTGCATTTGATAAGGCAAGCGCGCGTCCGCTCGCCTCCGTCACCGGAGTGCGACTGCCTCCCGATCGACCCGATACCCCCGCCGGAGCTGTTCGATTTTTGAATTTTTGTTTTTTTTTTAAATTTGCAGTTTTAATGTGCTATGTTCCTTTGCGATTATGATTGGTTTATATTGTGACGTTTGTTCGTGAGTGATCACATTTTTTTTTGAAGGTCACACGCTCAATCGTAATCGTGAAGCGAATCGATTTTAATACGCGTCTTCGTTCGTGGTTTGAGATCTTGGTTTTGGTTTTAGGCCTGAGTTTTCTGCGGTTCTAGAATTTTCAATATTATAACCTTCAATTTTTGGCCTTTTAGAATTGTTTTTTTTATATTGCGATCTGTGACGTCGAGTTCGGTTCAAATTGCGTACACTTTAGGCTAAAATGCATTTTTTGTGAACTTAGTTCTATATATTATATTACCAGTTTTATCAATGGCGTACATTAGCTAGAAAATATGATTTGTCTATTTACAAATCGATCATTTCTCATTCTGTTCGAATATATTATGTCGAAATCGATTCTGAAATGTCTGACCCATGTCATTATTATTGTTTTAATCGAATAGAATTTTGTTTACAAAAGACTATGGTTAATAATTTATAAGCTGTATCATTATAATGTATAAAAATTGTTTTAACTTTATATTGCCTATAATCAGTCGAACTCAAATTATCAATATTATCTCGTAATTTTAATAATAATCATTTTTATTATCATAGACCTAATCACGAATATGTAAATATCTCAGCTCAAGACTCTTTCATCTAACACTCTAGTGTTGCCAGAATAATGAACTATGTGTACTATAATAACTGGTCTTTTATAATTTTTCATAATGGCAAGCGGAAATTGATGCTTTGTCTATAATATAATAAATTAATTCGAGGTTTATTATTTAATCTATGATGATGTAAATTAAGTAAGAGATGTGCCAAGTGCCGGTTCTCAATTGTGAAAGTTAATTGTAATCGGTTCACTAAATATTTTTTTATATTTTTTGAACCGAACGAATATTTTAATGGATTTTATTTATGATGTGGCAAGGCACGTTTTTTTTTATTTTTTTTGTCTTTAATATATAGGTTAGGGACGAACGGTAGATGTGTGTTGCGCGTAATCACATTTTTGTAATAGTTTTTGATTTTTTTCTTTTTATTTCTATTTTTAGCTGATTTTAGTATGAATTTCCGGTTTTATGAATTTTAAAAGACATATTTGTGAATAACGCGTGACATTCGATAGACCGACATTTGTGCTACTGCGTATATATTCATTTAATTATCTTATAAATGTAATAATGTACAAAGTGAGTTTGCGCTCAAGATACAAGTTAGCTTAGTGGTAAATATAATTTCTTTCCAATTATAAACAAATATAAATAAAGAATCAACTCTGCTATCAATATGCATTGTGTTATTTGTTAAATATTGTTTCTTTCGTATTACAATGAAATATATAAAAAAATAATACGAAATGGCTGTCCACTGCACGTCATTCTTGAACTATTGTGCTATTTCGTGATCTTACCTTGCTTTTGAATTGTGAGGGTAATAATAATCCGCCATGTTGGTATTGCCGATTTTTTATCTGCATGTTTTGTGGTGACACTCAATAATTCGCAATTTTTTTTTAATACAGTGCAATAAATAATCTTAGTTGACACGAAATAATAAAAATATAATAGATGAAAAAATGTTAATATCAAGAGGGTGGAATACAAACGGATTGTTGTTACGTTAAATTGTTGTGACAGAGTTTTTTTTAAATTTCGTCATGGTAACACTGTAACTATTTATCTGCGCTTGGAATTTAAAGTGTGTGTAAAAAATGGTAACACGCGGTCGCCCTCCGTTGTCTCTTTCTAATTATAAGGCTGAATTAGAAAGTGTCAAAAATGTTCTCTTATTATAATACTACGGGTTGAACACTCAATTTAGTCGCATTATAGGTAACACACAAAAAAAAATTGTTAGATGTGTAACGTAATTGTGATCAAAGTATTATGGACTTTGTAGTTATAGCAATAATGTTCATTATCTATTACGTGTCAAACTGTTCTATGTAATTTGTTTCACAGCCTTTATTTGAATTTTTTTCGTGATTTGGTGTGATGCTTTCCTTTTACTATTTGTGAGTGATGTTTCGCATACTTACTAGGTATAAATATTAAAATAGGTTCGTATGTATGTATGTATGTATGTTGTAAGTGCGGGCGATCGCGTATTTTTTCTATAATAATCTAATTAAGTGTAGTGTTATACTTTTACAAGAAATCACAAATCAGACCTTTTGGCTTTGACTGTCGCGTTATATAATTAAAATATTAATTACATGCCATAGATTATAAATTTATCCTTTATAAACGTTGGCAACACTTATTGCATTGAAGTTGTGGAATTTGAGTCAGCAACACTGACCGATATGTAATAAAATATTTTAGTGATACTATTCTGTTATTCTTTTAGACATATTTATTACTTTCATAAAATGTATAATATTCATTATAATTAAATATTTCTTAACAAATATCTGGTTATTTTATTTAACGACTAAATATTATAATTTACCTATTTTAGAATGTAGTAAAATTTAATTAGCGGTGTTGCTAAGTTTTGTTTTATTAATATATTTAAATTTACTATGAAAAACTGCCAGTAATGTGAATAGAGTTCATTTTGCACGCGACAAGTCAGGCCGATGTATAATTTACATACTGTAGTTATATATTTATATATTCGAGCTTTGGTTTATATAATTTAGTGGTCGACCGCGGCCGTGGTTCGACGATTGTGAGATATTCAAAAAAATAAATTTTATTTTTAATTCCATAATGGTGTTTTTATTTTTTTTATATTTCTGCCTTATATGTATATATTCTATAGAAAAAATATATATTATGTATATATAATTTTCATATTAAAATGAATTGTGATATTTTGTCTTTGTGAATGAATACTGACAAAATATTTACTTGATATTTTAGAAGATATGTAAAATCACATACTATGTGTGTCTGTGTTTGTTGACTCCTTCACGCTAGATCGGCTAAACGAATTTGGATGAAATTTTATATGCAGATTAACTATGATCTGATCTTTTGTATAAAGGAGCCGTTGGTTTGCTAAAAGATGAATACATATATATTATACTAGCAGAACCCGCGGCTACGCTCGCGCTAAAACTATAAAAAAAAGCTCTAAAAAGGTAAGTTTCATACAAACTTTCATCCCTTATTTTACCCCCTTATGGGATGAATGTCGAAAAATGCTGTAACACGTATTTATTTAATTGTATTGAAGAGCATTAATACTAAGATTCAAGTATTCTGATCATAAATATTTGTTTCGGTTGTATTATAACGTGTTTTCTCGTGGGAATGAGATAATCTCCCGCGGTAAGTGTAAGTAGCCTATGACACTCCAGCCCTCCAACTATCTTCATACAAAAAATCACGCCAATCCGTCACTCTGTTTTCACGTAAAAGAAGGAAAAACAAACAAAGATCTACAAACACACATCCACATTTATAATATTATTATGGATTGTATATGTAAAGAAACGTCGATAAGTTTGTATAGGAAAATTCCCTAAGTCGCAAAGGAACGTTCACGTATCCGTGGGTGTCTCTAGACTCTAGTATCAATAAAAAATAAGTTATATTATCATAGATTATATTTTTGACAAGTAACAATACATTTTATACACAATTTGTAATACTTTTAGTTACAATTAATTATACTATGGCTTTATTTTAGTTATTTTTACATACAAAGTTTAAATTTCGCAAATGACACACAAATTTTAATTATATATGTATAAAAAACTTAAAAATAGCAAATACAAAGCAACACTACAGAGTATTATTTATTCCATTTAAAAAAAAAATGTATTTATAAATTTCTAATTTTCAAAACTAATGTAAAACAATTCTTATTAACTGATACATTTAAATGCAAATTACATTCCTAAAGTATCATACGAAAAATTTGTAAGATATTTTTTTTTAATAAATGTTTCCGTATAATATAAGTGTTGGTTAAGACTATATTTGCTGGTGGCAAGACAAAAGTAATATTATAACTAAAAAAATACTACTTATCACCGCATTTTTGACTTAATAATAAAATAATTTACTACACTTACATATTTTATGACTAAGGATTTGTTTAGGTAAAGCTATAAAATAAAGCATTTGCTATTGAGGAGTTACACACATTTATAAAAGAGATGTTTTTTGTTTGTACATTATAGAATATTCGTCATAAAGAAACTTTTTTACATTGAAATTTAATTTAATTATTGTTAGAATTATTTAGTTTTTATAAACATTTTTAATTATTTCTTCTAATATTAAAACTTCATGTAAAATTCCTCAAAACACGTACGTTTTGACACTCAATGACGTTATAGTTGCAACACCAATTGTATCTTAATAATGGTAAAACCTGATTAATAATATTATGACGAAATATTTTATCTGTCATTTAAAAATTTATGATAAAATACTTTTATCGACGATAAATAAATACATACAATACTAACAATATACTATCCAAAAGAGCAAGATATGCTAATTATGATTGATCGTTATTTTTTTTAATAGGCACTCCATCCAAATCGACTTCTGTGCTCGGGATTAAAGGTGGTTTGAATCCGCCATACTCTATCCTTAGGTTAGTCATTTTAGGCGTTCTATCCGTTCTACGTATCCTCTCCGTATATTCCTTATTTTTCTCCCATTGATCGTCATAATTCTTTAGAGGTGGGGGACCATAATATTTATGTTGTTCTTGTACATGGTTAGGCATTGGTCTCTTACCGTCTGTAGAGTTTAAATAGTGGAAGGACGACGCGTACTGATTCCCCCAATGAGTTGTGTAAACTGGTGTAGAGTTCTGCAAATTCTTCAAAATATGGGCATTTGCAAGCTCTATTTGATAGTTTCTTTGGGACTCGGCTTGCTGTTGGTTACTATAGGCTTCAATTTCTTGTGCATAATTGGGTATAGCCTGTTTGTATTGTTGTTGATTGTATTTTAAGTAATTCGCCACGTTTGTTAGAGCGTCTTGTGGGATACCATAACTATAAATAGTAGTTGGTTTCACTTTTTCGTACTGATACGGCTGATCACTTTGTACTTCTCTGTTTTGTACTTCTCTATTGACTATGTAAGGGACTTTTACTTCAACAGGAACATGAACAGGATATGGTACTTTTCTTTCCACGATTTTCTCCACAGGATAAGGAACTCTCTTCTCTACGGGGTACGGTTTGTCAATATATTTGGTAACGACTACTGGTTTTTCGATGATTTTTTCAACAACAGACTTAACAGGGTACGGAACATTTACAGGCACTTTTCTTTCTACAATTCGATCTACGTGTACAGGATAGGGTACTTTCTTCTCAATTATCCTGTCAACCGGATATGGTCTTGGGACCTCAATTCGCACTGGATGCGGCACCGGCACTTTGATATGTACAGGTTTCTCAACCACTTTAGTGACTGTAACGGGTTTTTCAACTATCTTCTCTACTGGCACTGGTATCCTTTTCTCGACAGGATACGGGACAGGAACTTTAACTTCATGTCGGACGGGATACGGAACTTGTCTTTCCACGGGATAAGGTACAGGGACCTTTTTTTCAACAATTTTTTCAACGGTGACAGGTTTTTCCACTGGTATTGGTACATGTACAGGTGTTTCGACTGGGAACGGATAAAAAACTTTCTTTTCTACTGGAACTTCTATTCCTACTGGTATTCCTACAGGAGTTGGTACGGGTACTTGATGAATCATTTGTTTTTCTATAATTTTCTCCACAGGATAAGGAACATGAACAGGACGGTCGACATAAACCTTATGTTCTACCGGGTATGGCACACGAACTTCAACCGGATAAGGTTGTAAAACTTCAACAGGATAGGGTTTATCAACGTATCTAGTAACTTCTACGGGCTTCTCAACGATCGTCTCATAATGTACTGGTACCGGAACAGGCCTATCTACTGCTACTTGTTTAACTACCTCCACTGGTTCTGGGTACGGAACCTGCTTTTCAATGAAACGATCCACATATTTCGTCACAGGTACTTGTTTTTCAATAATAATTGGCTGAATTATTTTTTGATCGGAATTATAATAGTTCGCATAAGCATTGTTAGTATCAGAACTAGCTTGTTGAATCTCAGATTGACTATTTTCACTAGAATCTAACGTTTCTTTAGAGTTTTTATTGTTGTTATCATAATAATCAGAGTTTTTGCTATTGGAGCTATAACTGTCTTTACTTTGAGTATATTTTGCGTCTTCCAAGGATTGTAAATAATTTTGATATATAGATTTAACGATGCCTAAAGGATTATCTTTATTACTTCTTCCTTCTTCTAAATATTCATGATATTCTACGTCATTAATGTGCATTATCTCAACAGGTATCGATTCTTGTATTTCTACAACTGTTTTACCAGATTGAGGACTTTTCACAGTATTTGCAATTAACTCACTGTCTGAAGACTCGTAATCATCAACTGTGTTCAAATCATCTGAATGATTTGCATTTAACAGCCTTAAAGCTACCGTAATAGGGGCTAAGTAGTTTTGGCTTACGGGTCGTGGTGTTATATTAACTAGGTCTTCTTCAGGCTTATTTTGATCATAAGTATTGTTGCTTAAATATTTTCTAACATCAATAATTTCATAACCATTTTCAATATACGGAACCATTGTTGATACTAAGTTATTAACAATTTGTTGCTTATAATTTCCATAATTTGAGTCGTCAACTACTATTGGTGAGGAGAATTTATAATCATTATTAGAAGTTTGGTAAGACTGCTCTTGGACATTTGGTTGATTATTATCACTATCAACAAAATTACCATATTTTGCTGCCAGAGTTATCCTACCTCTGGGATTTTGCTGAGGATTGTTATGGTAAAAACTTATAGCTCTTGAATTTGATCGACGCCGAGGTTTGATTATATCGTCACTATAACTATTTACTATTCTTTCTGCTGCATGGTTAATTCTTAAAAGATCTTCATTTGTTATTAAATCCTGAGTAGAAGCGACTAGTCTAGTTATGCCTTCCTGTTCAGTAAATGTAACAGGTTTTGATGTTGTATGAGTTATTTCTGTGTAATAATTAAGTCTTTCATTATTTTGTTTTATTTTAATGTCCTGGTAGCTTACTGGATGTTTGTTATCGCGAGCTCTAAAATTTCCATGAATATTAGGTTCTTTATGAATAGGTTCATTTTGGTTAATACTTGAACTTCTTTGTGAATTACTTCTATATTCCTCTCTATTATCACTATACTCATCATTAGAACATTTATGATCTTTAAACACACGTACAATAGGTCCATTTTCTCTTGTGTCCATTATTTCATCACTTTGGTTATCAATCGACATTCTGTCATTAGATGTGGGTGTTTCTTTTGTGTTTCTGTTGTTGTCGTTTGTATGTTTTACAATAGTTTCATATTTATTTTGGTTAGAAGCTGTATTCGTATAGTAAACATTAGGAAAAGATGTATATTGAACTACATTTTCATTATTATTATTAGGTACTATTTGGAAAAATTGTCCCTGAGTGGGATACTGCTGTTGTAAAAAGAAGATTTCGACTGGATTTTGATTATGTTGTAAGTTGTTGATTGCTTCAATGTGACTTCCGTTGGATACCTGCAAAGAACATAATTATTAAAATAGTACTAAAGTGTTTGTTAATTTTTTATAGATATATTCTGTCTATGTATTAGAAAGGATAAAGTAGCTCTCATGGGATGTTAAAAATGTAGAGACGACAAAAATGGAAGTGGGTACTGGTGACCTATGTGAAGTTAGCAACTGACTAAATAATAATTATTTTTTATAAAATCTATTAGATTGTACTACGTTTGTACCGGGTTGTACTGCTTTTTAAATCGTTTATACCTAAAAGGGGTGAGAAATATAGGGGAGCGAATATATGTATCGTTCAAACCTAAAAATACAACATTTTTGTATAAAATATATTTATGACAGAATTTATATATGAAAAAGTGAAATAACCTGAGAATTTAGCTCCACAGCGCGTTCTCCGAGTGCAAAACTGGTGGTATGGACATGTTCTTGGTCGCTCGTAGTGACTGCGACGGCACCGTGGTACCCGCTGCTGTCCGCTATGTAACGGACTTGCTGTTCAGACTGAAAGAGTTCAAGATATATTTAGCTTTTATATATTTATGGTCTATTTATATTAATAAAATTAAATTGTCTGATCTCAAAATAACCATATTGAGCTCATATAGTTAGTTTACCGGGATTCTTCAATGTGAGAAAGATCAGGTCCACTACGCTGGTAAGTGCGGCTTGAGAGATTTTACATGTCCTCAACCCAACTTGATTTCGACTTTACATATCGAAAACTAGTTAGGTTCTCAGACATGTAGGTGAAACCGCTTCACTTCGTTTGCCAAGCGAACGCGTTACCACGGAGTTACCACTGCTTTCATCCTCATGTGGTTAATATTAGCAATACTAAAGTGAATGGTAAAAATATAATTGTCCGTCTGTTTATAACATCTAATCACCGGAACAGTTTAATCAAACTAAATTATACTTCCATTAAACAAAAGACTAACCTCAGGAAGTTTAACGAAGTAGTGGCCGACAGTACCGGGTCCCGCTTGAGTCATCTGCCATCCCCATTGCACATTGGCACTTGCTGAATTCTGTAAATATTATAATTTTGCAGTAATTAAGGTACACTTACTTTAAAATCAATTTCAATCCTAGGGTTAGCATTTTTGTATTTTTTAACTACGGACTACCCTCGAGGTATCATATTTTTTTAAAAATATCATGCAAATCGGTTTATAACTCATAAAGATTCTCAGATAACATACACACACAAAAAATATATTTAAAAATATGCATTTGAACCCACTTTTTCCTTTTTTTTAGCAATTTTTTGTAAATGCTAAATATACGTACGTAAAAAAGTAGATACATAATATGTAAAATACAGTATACTGTATTTTACATATATATGTATCTACTTTTTACCTATATTTATAAATATGACTAATATCAGGTTAGGTATTACAAATACGTATTGGGTTTGCTGTAGTCGTTCAATCGAAACCCTTGTACATCGCATTTTCAGTGGTTTTTCAAGACCTTTTTGGCCTGGAACAAGTACCTATAACATAAACACTCTTTAGCTCTATTATAACGTATGCGATTTGCATATATGTATATGTGTGTTTATTACTTTCACCATGAATATGCTGGACCGATTTAGATAAAATTTAACACTTAGACCTGGTGTACCTAACACCTAAACTACTGTTAGGCACCTTGTGACGTACCCGAGCGAAGCAAAGGTTTGTCGCGAGTATTATTAGCATTTATATACATAACATTATTGTAGGTAATAAAAATCGTAAGGTGTGGTCATTTCCTTTTACAAATACGCAATAAAGCGACATTATGAGCTAATAATTTCATATCACACATTACACTGTTCACTAATTTCCTTTCATTATATAACAGTATGTTAATATTCGCATTAATCTAGACGATCGTAAAACGACGGAAGCATGCTCCACTATGAATACCCACCGGTCTTGGAAAATATTGAATGTAATCAATTTCGATATTAATTATTTTCTTGTTTTCTTCATCTTCAAGTAAGAGAAACCTTTTTGTTTTCTTTTTAAAAGAAAATATTATGACCTTTGCTTATGAGTTGTTTTGTAACATTATGTTTCTTTGGAAAATCGTTAGAATAGTATATAGTACTAGAAATTCGTTATTTTTTTGTGCTATAACGGTTTTAGATTATAATTTTAAGCAAATATTAATAATATAATCTATTCTACTATTATAAAAAGAATAATAAAATTGTTTTTTTGTATGTTTCTTTAAAATAGATAAACTAGAAATCCGCTAAACCAATTTAGATGAAATTTGTGAAGGACATAGAATAATTTTTATCCCGGAAATCAATCTTTAAGGGGGGTGGAAGTTTGTATCGGGATTCAATCATTTCTCAAGTAGGAAATATAAAACTCATCATACCTATGTATATTCCAGTCGCTAGTGATTTCATATAGCTAAACAATCGTATGTTATTAAAACTATCTTTAAGTTAAATCTGAAATAGTAGATCTATTATAATAAATTAACATAATACTTTTACTTATATGTTAGTATAAATCGTAAAAACATTGATAAATTGATTGGATAACGGCGCGCGTAAAACTAGAAGGCCATAAAAAAGACAATAATATATCACAAATACGAGGAAATTCTTCATTACGACAGGTTTAAGTTTTCCGATACATACTAAAATATGAATTATTTGAAACATGTTCATAGGAAATAGCGAAGAATACGGTAAGTAAAAGTCGTGTGGTAAGAAAAAAGCGTAATGAAAGTGGTCTGCAATCAGTGCCCTTTAGTCGTTCACTCGGTAGCTGCAGTACAAGTGTAGCATTTCAAGTCGCGGTCGCCATGGTAACATTCCTTAGATTTGATCAAGCAGAAAGATGATTCTAGAATATCCTATTAATATATTAATGCGACAGTTCGTGAAGATGTATGGATGTTTGTTACTCTTTCACACAAAAAGTACCTACTAAACGGAATTTTATGAAACTATACTGTGTACATCAGAGTAAAACTGGCTATAATTATATATTTATTATTTACATAGCTTACGCTAGTATTCACATAAATGTATAAGATCTTTAGTTTTTATGGTTTTTCAAGTCGTTAGAAAAAGGAATAAATAAATGATTCTCTATAGTTTCCATATGTCATCGTATCGTCTTAACATCTGTCACTGCATATTTTTCTTGGAACATCACACCTTTGTTTGTTTTATAATGTACCTTTGTTTTACTCAACAATAGATGTTTTGTATAGAAATAAATGATGAACTAGAGAGTGATATGAATTATGAACTACTTCTTATCCTGACTACAAGTGAATATCCTAGGGATACTAGTAACTAGTAAATGGTAGATATATAATATATAGTAATGGTAAATAGAGACATTTAATTGCCAAAATTACTATTTAATATAAAAACGTGGATGCCGCTTAAACTATCAGGTACAGTCTACCTCTCAAAGTAAAAGTTAAGACAACCCTATCTATAAACTTCTATACTAATGTTATAAAGAGTTAAAGTTCGTAAGTTTGTATGTAAAGGTGATATTTGAAACTACTGATCCGATTCTGAAAATTCTTTCACTTGTAGGAAGCTACATTACCGCTGAGTACTATAGGCTATTTTTTATTCACCGTTCAGTTGCTTTATTGGCATGCGTTGCCTTAACGGTTTTGAAATAAAGCAATAAAATGAATGACTATGATCTGAAATAACAAGTGGACTACAGAGAGTAAATCTCTGGTTTATCATATAGGCCAAGCAAATTCTAAGTTTTTTTTTATATATAAGGGATATTTTATAGATGTAAAAAAACCTGTCATCTCTAAAGCTTCACAGCTTTAGTCCTTACATAAAAAAATGAGGTAACGTCGCGGGAAATCGTTAGTATATAGTATTCTAACTTTCATTTTATTTCGAACAATACCCAACACATGAGAGACATGACTTATGATATAACAGGTGGTTCCTAGTGAAAGGGACTTCCGACAGCACAATGTAAGTGTAGGATTAATATTAGGATTAGTTTGATAACTTACTTTTAGTTTTATGTTCACTTTAAATTCTTATTTTTTTTGAGCTTAGTATTATCTATACATATAATAAAATTCTGAGTCGAATCTGTAAATATATTTTTTTTGGAAAATCTTATTGAAATAGTCATTATTATCGATACAAACGCCGCGCCCAACCTATAGTTTTTAGAACTTTTGTCTGTCTGTCTGTCAGGGTACGCTTCACGAGGAAACCACTAGACAGATTTTAATGAAATTTGGTTTTATGATAGCTGGTTGTCCGGGTCATCATATAGGATATTTTTACTACGGGATAATATCTCATCGCTGAGAAATCTATATTAAAGGTTAAAACCTTTAATTAATTTCATTTTTTTTCTAAAATATATTTTATCTTTATTTGTCCTACACTGTCTGAGCCTGTCCACAAATAATAAAGAAAAAAAACAAGTAAAAAAATATTGATAGTATATTACAAAAAAACTTTTTAACAAAAAAATAAAAGTCGACTTCAAACAAAAGCACTAAAAAGTAAAAAATAACTGATTGGTAGTTTTCATTTACTATACATACCTAATCAAATATTTTCAAAGTCGGTGTGCTTTGCTTTGTATCGGCTGGCACCGACTTCGAAATTTTGAGGAAGTCGGTTGAAAATGAAAAATATAGATACTCTAATTATTTTTTATCAAACTTGTAAATACCGACTTCAATATCACTTAGGTACACAGTAGTTATTAAAACTTTGAAAGATAGACTTTTTTCTTGAAATTCATATAGAGCCTTAAAGACTTTCATCTATTTAGGTAAAATAAGAATGAAAATCGGTTTGCAATCGGTGACGATTTTAGGATACATATACATTAAAAAGAAAAAGACCTACGTCCTAGCCTTGATTGGGTGTCTCTATTTTAGAAATCTGTTTAAAAACAAATGAATATAATCAGAAAGGCAATAAATAATACAAGATTGAACGATTATATTACAATTTTACAATCTTTTTGTTTATAAATCTTCTTGTAAAATAAAAATATACTACCAGAACCATTCCTAAAAATATATTTAAGCTTAAAGATTTCATTTTAATCAAAATTGAATTGCAGAATTGTTAAACTTTAATAAATGAGTTACAATTTTTGCTATTTTTTTCACCAACATGTATGTAATTAAGCTCTTTGGTCTTATATATATTAAGTCTCTTTTTAGGTATAATTGAAAATTTTATTTATTTATTTATGTACCACAAAAGAATATACATATGAAAAATACCTCGTGTACAAAGGATGACTTATCTCTTTAAGAGATCTCTACCAGAAACTCTCGAGCGTGAGAAAAAAAAATAATCAAGTGCGGTGTAGGTACAAACTACAAACAGAAATATAAATGTACAATACAAACATATATTTATATGATCAGTACAAAATTTTAAGAATGAAAATCGAACTTATGCTTATTTGTGTTGGTACACAACCACCGCACCATAGGAGCTTCTTATAGAATCAAAACCGCGCCCGAAAACTTGTTACTATTAAAGGTATGTTACGTAGTAAGCTAAAAGTAAAAGCGTTATATCTCAATAAATCTATAGTATAGTTCTAAATCAACTTTCATATTTTATTATATTTTCAACAATAGTGATTGTAGATAAGTAATGAAATGATAAAGTGCATATTTCATAATTTATACTTTTATTTCTGACATGATCAATGTTTCTCGCGAAAGGTCTACCTTTTCAAAATGCAACAGGTTCAATTCCCGGCTAATCAAATTGGTTTATCAAGTGAATTTTTTTGTAAAATACCTGATGTCTTTAATTGTGAACCTATTTTCATAATTATTTTTTAGTAAGTAGGTGTCACATCTAAATTTCAATAAAAACCACCCTTAATGGTAAATTACTTTTAAGTGTTTTTTAGTCAGTGTACATTTGGTTAAAAAGTACTAAGTAGGAAATGTGTTCCTTGAGTATTTGTTATTTTTAACCCGCGGCTATTAGCTTCACTTGTAACTATGAATGTAGTCAAAGTAAATCTTGGAAGTCAATTTTAACCTACTTCTGAAATAAAACTTTGTATGTATATGTAGTTTGGATGACGATTCTATAATTTGGTATCTTGGAGCTGATCTCATGATGGAGCCAGGAGGTAAATAGTATAATACTCCAATGGCTTCTAGTATACTCCTCGTAATTTAGTTTGTTTTAATATTTCCAATATATTAGATTTCTTCAAAAGCGTGTTTTTTAGTTTTTTACAACTGTAATTATCATATTATGTATTCAACGGTTACTTTTTTATAATTCATAAGGATTCCCCTTGCATTGGTAGAGCCTGCGGGATCATTCAGATATGTATATATTATAACAAATATTGTCAAGTTCGCTCTCTTCATATATTTTTTGTATTTCTTGTAAATGTATTTCTTTTCAAACCGTTTTTTTTATTTCATACAAATTTTTTTTCGAAGCGCTAAATAACACCAAAACGGTTAAGAAAATATCATTTTTTCGCATTTTGCATTATATCCAATTTTTTTATTTATTATATAAAATAAATCTTTATTATCAACTATAACTCTTATAGTTGAATATATATTGAGTCATATCCAGACCATTTAACGTTCCACTTCTGGACGCAAGCCTTCAATACCAAAGGGCTCAGGCTATAGCTCACCACGCTGGACATATCTTTCGAAAACTTGCAAGGTTTTCCCAAATAAGCAGGTTTCTTCACGATTGAGCATCGTAAGGCATTGCTGTATCTTGAGAGAATTCTAATAATGTTGACACCTCGTGTGTTTTCATATTCCATTTTACATATACATGTGATGACACAAAAAAAAACGTATTTTGATTTGCCTTTCACTAACAGGAAGTTCGAGCTTCCGGACAAGATTCATCACATACGCATAATGACAACTTACGTCACACAGTAATTATGAGACAATATAATGTTTCAAACCGCTCCGTTTACGGAACACATTACGTTGGAATGTTGCTATTTTTTCGTTATAAAAAATTATATCATCATTAAAACACATCTGGTCTTATATATATATATATATATACATACATACATTTGATGAAATTTGATATGATGATAGCTGGTTATCTGGGTATACAGGATACTTTTACTGCGGGAAAATATTTCATCTCTGAAAACTCTATTTTAACTTAAAACGTAGGGAGGAATCCGAGTGGAGCGAGAGTGAGGTGCTAGTAGAAAATATAGTGCTTTTTTATTCTGAAATAAGTTCTCATTGATAGTATAATTTCTTAATTTAGCAAACCACAAATATCAATTTTTATTAAATTGTTATTCCTAAATCTATGTGTCTAAGCCGATCTGAATTGATCTGATTTCATAGGAATTTCAAACCTAAAGGACAAACTACGCTAAGCTAGAGGACAACATATAAGGAATTTATTACAGGATAATTTCTAATAGAATTCTAATTGAAATGAAAGAGTCTCCATCGACCGTAACCGTTGAAATCAATGAGGATGGAAACCAAATTTTTACTCTAACGCTAATCTGTCCATTTCGAAATACTTCTTATAATTTGCTTTTAAATACAATAGGTACCATCTTCAACTTTAAAGCTTCAAAACATTCACTTTTTAACTATAGAAATACACACATGTTCACTTCATCATGTTCCACAATAGTATATTCTAATAACGAAAGTATAACGCCTTAACAATGATGGATCAGCAACGCGGTCCATAGATCAAATGATCTATAGATCATTCAGCACATTGTTACGGCACCGGAAATAGACCAGTTCCGCAGCTATGAACAGATTTATGTGAAAGTTACATACAATGGAGTCTATATATATGGCAATTTATATTGCATATCTGTAGTTAGTTATTAAAATTGTATATTCAATTAAGTAGTATATTTTAACGATGTGTTATTGTAACAATCAGTGCCTGAAGCTTTGTACGAACTACGAGGGAAATTAATCTTAACAAGTACTTTAAGAGATAGGCTGTACATTTTACTGCAGTTTAAATTGATAATCTTAAATGAGCTAATTCTTGCTTATATATATAAATTTATTAAAATATCTGCTAAGCGACTCGAACGTTTTGGATAAAATTTTGTATATAAGGTTTAAGTTTATATAAAAAAAAATACAAAAAATAAATTTATAATTAAATATTAGAGGCTTTTTCTATCTGCTCTAATGTCATATAGCGCTAATAGCGTGATAATTTTTTTCTGTTTGTCCACCGATTTTTTTTGTTTAGTTGCTAATCATTGTGAGAATTATTATTTGCAAATAATAAGTTCAGAGAGCGACTTTTTCATTTCCAAGCGATCTCGGTCCCACTGAGCTACCAGTACTATCAAATATAGTAATCCTACAAATATTATAAATGCGAAAGTTTGTGAGGATGTATGGATGTTTGTAACTCTTTCACGCAAAAACTAGTGAATGGATTTTAATGAAATTTTACAATAATATATACCTATAGATTATAGCTTATACATCAAAATATATTAATACATAGACTTTTTATCCCGGAAAAATGTACGGTTCCCGTGGGATAGATTTGTTTTTGTTTTACTAGAGGCTAACCCAAGCAAAGCGAGGGTGAACCGCTAGTATTACATAGTTATGCAAAAATTAAAGGTATTTAGTTCATACATGCAAAAAAACATTGTAAATCATTACTAAGATAATTTAGAAAATATAGAAATGAATTTGTCATAAAATTGTGAGGTTAAAAATTACAATATGGTTTCTGCATTCTGGTGAAGCTATTTCTATAAAAATAATTAAAAGACAATCTGTCGGTGTGCGAAAGAAAGGTAAAGCAAGAAACACACTATCGCATTGTTATTTTAAATAAGAATACAAAAGGTAATTCTTACAACTTTTCTTGTCACTATCTAAAATTACGTAAATGGCAATTATAAAAAAGAAATAATTTACATTTGTGTATTTTTACGTAATATTTCATGCTAGCGACTTACCCTCGTTTTGGTCGAGCGGGTGGGTGGGTGGTTGTTTGTCTTTATATTTTATACCTATACAAGCGATGCCATCTATTAGCAAATTTATCAATAATTATAAGTAGCCTCAGTGTTTCTCCAGGTATGAGTCTATCTGCGTACTTAAATTAATTCAAATACGTTTAGTCGTTTTAGAGTGAATAACAATGCATGCATTTAATTGACCGCTACGAATACAAGGTGGAGCGCGTTGATGTCTAAATTATAGTGCGATTGATATCTATCTATAGATGTAATAAAATTCTGAGTCGAATCTACATAAAATATTTCATGGTAAATCTTATTGAAAAAATCATTATCATTAACACAGAAGTCGAATTTATAGTTTTAGTATTTTTGTCTATCTGCCTGTGTGTCGGTCTGACTATCTGTCGGTATGGGAACACTTTACTAGAAAACCACTGGACAGATTTTGATGAAATTTGGTATTTGATACCTGGTTATCCGGGTCAATATATATACATATATTATTAAACCTACGCGTCTGGTTGGACTTCCTTGATCCCCCAGGACTCGAGGAAAAGCCCATATCCAGCAGTGAGACCTTAAAAAGTGCTGAAGCAATCTATACATAGGTATAATAAAACTGCAACAAATCGCTGTTTGTAAATGGAAGATATTTGAGAAAAACTATTATTGGCGGTCTTTATTAACGCAATAGAACCCAAAACAATGATTTTTTAGAATTTTTCACTGTTTGTCTGTGCGTTTGTGCGCGCTTATCTCAGAAACGGCTTAACCGATTTGGGTGCGGTTTTCACTATTGTATTGTTGTAAGCTTCACTTAATATTTTGTTGTAATTTAAAGAATCACCTAGCGAAGGCTGAGTCGCTACTCACGAATACATAAAGAACAAGGTTTTATTATCTAATCACGGAGTAGGTATAGTATAGTTTTCTATCTTTACGTAAAATCATATACAAAATACCTTTAGCAAAAAGTGTTAACTGAAATTTTTATTTTAACAACAATAATTCTTCATAGTTAAAGTATGTAATGAAAACTTTTTCTTCCTTATACCGCAAAAACTGTAATATGAATCGAACCACTACGCCTTAATTTAGTGAAGTATCGTTTAGCATCAAATTAGTGTCAACTTCAAATATTATTGGACACTCATTTTTTTTCTCTGATATAAGCAGACATTTCCTTCAATTCTATTTTATTTAAAAATACAAGTTTCTTTTTATAATTAATTGAGTTTACTTAAAAGAGTGTGCTTCATTAATTTGATTTTCTATGATAGTGTACAATACTAAAATGCATAAAATATATGATTAAAATCTTACCACGTTGTCATTTTGTGACAGTACATGTCCACATATACTGCACGATAATAGCACCCGTAGCCACTAGAAAAGAAAATTATACTAAGTTGTTTTTATATCCTAATATAAAATAATAGATTTTTATGTGCAGGAGTCTCAATGTGCCAAAAAATACCCTTAATCTTTCGAGCTAAAAATTTAAATTTTTAGATACCGACCTATCAAATTTTAAACATTTTAGGTCCAAGACAAATAATAAATCTTTATTTTTTCATTAAAGTATTACAATAAGATGACACTAAAATAATTAGAGTTAATCAATATTTAGATATCTTCTGTTGCGCAGTAAGATATGTGTTTTTCTAGAAAAATAGGTCGTGAGTACGACTCCCATACAAGACTGATTTTTATATATGTAGGTCTTAAAATTTATTATAACAATCCCGGTCTATAATTACATAGGTAAATAATTTTAGCACGAGATAAAGTAAAAAAAAGGATTACTATTTATTTCAAATAAATACGTATAAAATACCCAGCTCAAGAAAAATATATTCGTTAAACCACGCAAATATTTTATCAATCTAGAATCGAACCCAGTATGATGATTAAGTAATTTTATATTTATTACATATAATAATCAGAAACATCACTTACCATCTTTTAAAGCCAGTGTGAAGTAAAAAATTTACAGTATTCCAAACACGAGTGGAGCAAGTCTGTAAACAATGGAAAACAGGTTTTAAAATGCATTGTCTTAGTCAAAATTAAATTTCTCAAATTCATTCTTACAGCTTACTTACTAATAATTTAAATGTTATAATGAGTTTGTATATTTACTTCTTTGTTTGTTCCTACGTTATAACATTTATATTTCATTAATAATACTTTAAATGGTATCAGCAAAATAAAACTATCTAATTTGGACAGTTCCAATCGTCCCAATAACCTACCTATCTATCGTTAATACATATTTCTTACTGTCGGAAGAAATTTGACATAATTTGCATGCAATCAATGCATTTATATCTTAAGTAAGGAAACTCAAAAATAGATTATTTATTTATTGGGAACATCTGGAAGAGGTGTGGTATGCAATTAAAGTGTAATCGACGTGTGCGTTAATCGCTAGTTAGATCGTAAAATTCCGACGGAATGACAGACTGAGTAATTCGGTTTATTTGTAGTTTTAAATCAAATTATTGGAGTTTTTTATATATTATCCTAATAATAGAAGTGAAAATCAAAATAAAAATATATCTTTAAGTATGCCTTATAGCGAGTTCATATTTAAAACCTTTTTTTTTTTAATTTTTCCCAACCTATAAAATTATTGTCCAAAAATAGAAAACTTTTTTACTTTTTCTTATCTTTAAAAATATTCATCAAAAACATAATTCCTTCAATGGATATACTCATCACTAATACAAATTTGACTCTACAAACTTTGTTTGTAATGAAGTTAATCTTAGAAAGTTTCTAAAATACGGTATTAAATGTGAATTTCGCAGTAAATTCTGAGTACTTAAGGGCACTTTAAATGGCAGACCAGGAAGGTACATATGTCATATTGCATAATCGACCTGCGGTTTATGTCGATAGGAAACTCTCTCTGACCGCAACGAACTAATTTACTAATCTAGCGGTTTGGATAACATTACCTACCTACTGATTACGTTCTACATGTATGTATGTACGTATATAGAATATGCATTAGTCTTACTTGTGTTAAATAAAAAAAATGTTTTATGTCTAGGTATAGATTAAAAAATTAAATGTATCTGTGAATTCTAAATATATAACTTTTTTAATCCCTCCACGATCACGGACACGCCGGCGTTACAGTTCACAATGGATTTCTTAGAAATTTAATTAATTTATTAGACATTTACTTGGGGGTGTTAATATTTAATAATTTGTAAATATTTAATTTGTGTTGCTATTTTATTAATTTACGACTTACCCTCCCTTCCTTCGGGTGCGTCTCTAAGCTTGAAAGGTTTAGGAACGCATAAAAGACAAACGTGCAAAAAAAACCTTTTTTTTACGCCTTCACAAGATTTTACAGTATAACCCACCAGAGTTTCATCACAATCGGGTCAATGGCTTAGAAACGCAAATAAGGCAAGTATAAGAACATACATTTTTTTTGTATATTTAAAACTTAAGGATTATTTTTTAATTTTATTAAATATGCTACCTTAATTACTTATATATAATAAAAATTAAAAACATACAAAGCTGCAGGTCAAAAGCTTATATTACAATAGTTCCTTTACACCCCACTAAGCTTTACACGATAGTGAAAACCTTAAAGTGAAGTGACAGATCACTCGAGTGCGAAGAAAATTATAGAAAGACCAACCTTCACCTAGATACTGAAACTTTATATTAGAAAACGGTATCTGATATCGTTTTACTATTAACCTATTTATACATCATATTCAGGCTGCTTTCGTCCACTGCAGGACATAGGCCTCTCCTATGGCACTCCACTGAGCTCGATCTTCAGCTCTACGCATCCAACCGCTGCCAGCCAGTTTATGTATATGAAGGCCCTGGATTCAAGTTTAGTTATTGAGTCTTTCTGTATAGTAAGCCTCAGTAACAGCCCGGAATTGGAAAGTTGGCGGTGTTTCACCCCCGTACCTCGGAGAGCACGTAAAGCCGTCGGTCCTACGCCTTAACTTTTAGCGGTCGTGTCTCGTGTCGTTTCACCGGAGTACGAGAGTGACAGGAATAGAGAGTGCACGTTGTGTCTGCGCGTACACTTGTGCACTATAATATCTCCTGCGCAGTTGGCTAGTCTCATTGAGATTGGCCGCCGTGGCCGGAATCGGTCTGGAGGACATGTATTATTTATGATTACATTTATTATTTATGTATATCATCGCTCGATTGAGCTGAAGAGCATCCTACATTACGTTAGCCGAACCGAGGTCTCCACTCTAAAACAGATGGGTTTGGAACTCCATCGGTTATCAAAAAAATAATTTGAGAATGAATGATATCGAAAGAAGAAGTGAACAAAAGTGTTCATATATTTTAATAATAAAACATTTAAATAAATATATAGGTATAGATGTTAGATAATGATATGGAATGTTGAAAAAAATTCCAAACATGCATGAAAAGTGCTTAGAATGTGAATTAAAGCAATATGCAACAATAAATACAAAAATAAAAATACTAGAAGTCTCTACCGTGATCATGATTGTTGTAAAGCATTCGAAACGTTATGTTGGGACATAAACACACAGCACCATCTAGTTTCATGTTAAGCAACGAGGCTTGTATTATGGATACCAGATAAATATAAACACCTATCAGCAGTACAGAAGATGTACTGCGCCGACCCCAAGTGATTAGGAAATGGACAGGGAGAAGAAGAAACACCCATGACTGAAATACATACATTCGTGTTCATCAAACAAATGAATGCCCCCAGCGGGATTCGAGCCCGCGACCGCTGGCACAGCAAATAGCGTCACTACAACTACAGTCTCTAAAACTTACATATTACGATGTATGTACAATGTACATTATCACAACTCATCAGTAATCGAAATCCTGACCTCTGACATAATAATAGCTTGGCCTATAAGCTATAGAAATAATAATTCGGTCACGGCAGCCAGTCTCACTGAGACTAGCCATCTGCGCAGGAGATATTATAGTGTCCAAGTGTTCGCGCAGACACAACGTGCACTCTCTATTTCTGACACTAAACTAACTAACTATAAATTGTACGTACATACTAGCAGAAAGACTCAATAACTAAACTTGGCCCGACCCGGGACTCGAACCCAAGACCTCGATGGGCAGCGTTACTTGCTAGCCACTACACCACTGAGGCAGTTAAGTTATAGAATAAATAACATAATAACTAAAATATGAATATGACAGCGATTCTATTATTATTATAATCAAAACAAAAAATAACATTCAAAGAAGATTTTAAGAAATAAAAGGTTATCTTCTACAAAAACAACTTTTGTGAAACTTGCATCTACTATATGATTGTGTAAATTTAAATTGTTTACAACCTACATTCTAAAAATCCACTCTAAATGACCAATATTTTATATGGACCTTTACATATTAATGATTTTGAAATATATTTGGAATTTCCTATTATTCATATTTGTATAATGGGATAAAATGATTTTTTTATATATATAAATAGGCAAGAATTAAGTGTAAAAATAAACTATCGTATTCCCATTTTTGACATTAAAAGAAACGTTTAATTTATTTTCCTCAAAATATTAAACATGATGTAAGAGTGTTACAGGTACATTACATTCATGCTCACAATAAAACAAAGAAAAAGAGCTCAAAAAAAGGCGCGGACAATATGTCTGTAACGTGTACGTGTAATATATGGAATATCTATTTTGAAATCACAATTTCATCTACTCGTATAGATTATGTAATACTTTTTAGCTCAAATAAACTAAAATTAAACAAATAACAATACTGTGATAACTAAGTGTACATTTGTTTTCTATATAACTGTACTATAATATTATAAAGAAGTAAAGTTTGTGAGTTAGTGACGTTGTAGGGGGTAATCTCTGGATCTACTGAACTGATTTAGATGAATTTTGGTAAGAAGGTAGTTTGAGCCCCTGGGAAGGACATAGGATACTTCTTATCCCAGAAATCATCCGTTAAGGGGTGAAAATAGGGATGAAAGTTTGTATTGAGAATCAAGCTAGGGACGAAACCGAGCGAAGCGAGGGTGAGTCGCTAGTAATTAAGTATATTTGTAATTTTTTTTCTTGTATATTAAAAACAGAATCATGGAATTTAGCTAAGCAATTAGCAAAGATATCACGTAACCTATAAGTACAAAAACAAATACATACCTATATACATACACAAATCGTGCAATCATTTGTTGTAGTCGGTAAAAAAAGCAAGTAGAGACACGTCATTTCACATGATCTCTACCATACAATTTTTCTTAAATTAGATTTATATAACGAGGTAACATCGTAAATGTTATATTATTACAGTCATGATTGACGCCTTACATAACTAAAGGCGAATATTTTAAAATTCTAAAGAGGCTGCCTTGCATCATACTTCAAATGCATTGAAAGTTTGTAAAATATCCTTTTAATGTCATATATTGGTACAGCGTGTTGCGTTTTCTTTATATATGTATGTAGGTATATTCAATTTCATATATTTGTTTGTTGGTTTGTCTTTGAGAAGGTCTTTTTACACTGATTTTTACCCGACTGCACAGAATCTCAAAGGATGGTTATGTGTTTGACCTACATACATATTGTATGTGTATATATGTATGTATGCCCGAACCTAAGTTCCCTCGTAATTACTAAATACTATGTTCCTTCATCAACTTGTTCTCATCTTAATAGTTCATTTTTCACTCAGTCGGGTTTTTTTATTTTTGTAAATAAATGTTCATTATTCGTTTTATTGCGTTTTTAGACGATTATAATTATTGACCAATATTACTTAGACTAGTTTTTTTGGAGTTTACTTATATTCAAATTCTAATAAAAACTTGAGGTGATATTATTGTTTCAAGTAATAGATTTATAAACAACAATGTCTTGAATATTGCGAATAATCATAAAAATTTGATATATTTCTGCATAAGTTGGTCAATTTATTATCATGACAAA